GATTCTATATTTGGATTATCTGCATCATGTGTCAGCTTACCACTGCTATAATTGTGACATCAAGCAAAAATATGAACTGTTTTTTTAACATTGATAATAAGGAGAAATGTTTCTTGAGCCGCAAATCATCATATTAGAATGATTTCTGAAAGATCATGTGACACTGAAGACTGGAGTAATGATGCTGAAAATTCAATGATGCCTTGATATCAGGAATAAATTACATTAGAACACAGTTATTTTAAATTGTAAATATATTTTACAATATTACTGTTTCATCAATTAAATGCAGAGAGCAAATTAGTGAGAAAAAGATACTTCTCTTAAAAACATTAAACAAATCTTACCGACCCCAAACTTTTGAACTGTAGTGTGTGTGTGTTTCTATTGCAGTCCTGGATAATAAGTGGCCCTGAATACAGATCAGAGACCAAATTGCCTTAATTATCTCAGGTCTGTGTTTGGGGCCTGCTTATGCTATTGAAATTTGTGTCGATTTATTCTGACTATAAAACAAACTATAGTGTGTAACTGTGTATATATACTGGTCTCAGATCAGCCCTAAACAGCACAACTAGCACCTCATATTGCAGGACCCCCTGGCCCGACCACTTACAATGAGGCCCACGTTCACGCGTCTGCTATGATTGCATCTTTAGACTGTAGTCATTGATGAATTGAATAATATTCTCAATCTCCCACTTTCATCTCTAGGGTGACATTACAATAACAAGCTCTTAGTATCTATCTGCTGCAGACAAATGGGTTTTGCCTGCTGCCTGTTTATGTGGTCAGCATCTCCAAAACAAGCCTCAGAGGACAGACTTTACGCAACTCCATTACATTTACATACATTTAAAGCATCTCCCAATGCCAAAGAGCTTTATTAAATAAAAGCATCTATCACCTGTGTGTAGATTTAAACACGGAATTTCAGCTTTATTCTCCTCTGAGTGTTTTGCCTGAGCTGGAAAAATGTGAGTCGATAAGAGTCGATATGTATGTATTTGAAAACAGCCATAAATTAAATATTATGGACCATATTAAATGGATAGTTCATCCAAAAAATGAAAATTCTCTCATCATTTAAATACCCTCATGCCTTCCTGATGTACATGACTTTCTTTCTTCAGATAAACACAAACGAAGATTTTTAGGAAAATAATCGATCTCTGTTACCCCTTATCCACCGACGGGGTCCCGGTGCGGATTCCCGACCGGTCCCTCTACTCTGAACCGCAAAACAGAAGTGCCGCATAGCTGAGAACAGGCTTTGGCTCCAGAACACGAACCCATTCTGGTGGAAAAGGGGTAGTAATGCCAGTGAATGGGTGCCACTCGGTTGACGCTGGGAAAATCCATACGACCTTAGTGGATGAATTGGTGTCTTCTGAAGAGAAATGATAGGTGTAAGAAAAAATACTATTTTACGAATACTAATATTTTTTCATTTCATACATTCGCGCCTTCAAGTAGACTATATTAGTGGACTAATGTAGGGAATTGTGAATGAGGGTATAGGGGGCGGTTTTGAACACAGCCTTTGTTTTAAAAGTACCACGGAACAACAGAGCCACTTCTCGTGCGCAGCTTCACAACACACTTACGTCAAACGCTTTGTGTGACAGTAGACCGAAAGCAATGATTTACAGTTACAAAAAGTTTATAATATTAGTGTTTTTCTTACACACACCTACAATCGTTTCGCTTCAGAAGACCGTGATTCATCCACTGGAGTCGAATCGTTGTGTGTGATTTTTCACGCGTCAACCAAGCGGCACCATGGCATTGCATGGATTATTTTCCTAAAAATCTTCATTTGTGTTTATCCTGAAGAAAGAAAGTCTTATACATCTTGATGGCATGAGGATGAGTAAATGATGAGAGATTTATTTTTTATTTTTAGGTGACTATCCCTTTAAGTGTGTTCTTGGAACTGACATACACAAACATTTTTCTCTTCTATTATATATATTTAATCCAGAATGGCACTGATATACAGCATATTGTTATATATAAAATAAAATACAGTTCAATTTGAAGGTAACAATGACTTATGACTTAGCCGCAGAATAAAGGAGTGCAGATTTGCTGACAGAGCTATAAGCAGTATTTGCCAATCTGCAATGTTTAAAAGGGGTTTGTAGTGTCTCTCAGTCTCTTTGTTGTCTCGGTCTGTTAATCGTACAGATACCCTCCTCTTTAAAACCATGTTTAAAGTGTTTTCAATGAGCCGTGACCGAGATAAAAGCCTTTGATAAAACGAACTGAAACTTCTTAAGCAGCCTAAATCAAACCAGGCGGGATTACTTAACATGATCTCCATTTTATTTATTTATTTTCCATCTACAAACAGTAGAGCCTGAAAGTAGAAGTGTTTCAACAATACAATATTAATAATAATGCTACTACAGTAAAAGTGGGTGTGTTCTATTCGGTAATGTTTTCTTAAATTGTGTTATATTGATTATTGTATTAATAATTGGCAACTAAATGATTAGTTAATCCAATCCTTGTTTAAATATAAATGTATATGAATATATAGCATCATGACAATTCTATCACTATTTAAAATTAATAATGAATAATGAAATATGTTAATAATGATCTGTCAAGCTTTATAATGTTATAATATTTTTCCGCCTAGTGATCCACCCATAATGCACCTAAATAAAGGTACAGTATTGTATCACGATTGCTACTATAAAAGTGGGAGTTTTCTGTTCTGTAATTTTGTCCTGTATTGTATTATAATGACTATTGTATTAATAGACACTATGCATGAGATATATACGTCCATTGGGTCACCGTGAGTCGTATATCAGCGCTGTTTGGCAGGAGTTTGGCAGGGGTTTTGAGATATTGGTAACGTGGGCATCTGTGGCACACATCCAGCATGCAGGCCTATGTGCTGATTGCCTCTCTGTTCACAAAACGCTGTGCTTTGCTCTTCTGTCACTTACTTTATGAATAACTGCACTGATATTCATTCAAACATTGTCAGATGTGCTGGTTTCTATTTCCTTTTATACTCCTTTGAAAATTGTCTCTCGCTTTTACAACCGTGCTGCTTAATGCATTGTGTAACAGTTACTGCGCCCACCATTAATATTAGCTAATATTGAACGCATTTACATTTTTTTATTCTGTTTTTCGATTTGCAACAGATTAGCTTGTCCAGTGCAACATCAGCCCCTTGTAACGCACCTTACTGGCCTGCACTGAAGAAAGGGGTAGTGTGCTTGATATTATATGTTATGAAAGGCCGGGCCCTGATTGGCTGCTTGAGGTCTTCAGCAAGCGCTTCCGTATAGCAACAGACCCCCATTCCCCCTCCTCTCTCCGTTTCCCCCATCCTCCCTTTCCTTAGACAGTGGCGGCCCCTCATACGGTGCTCGGATTCATCCTTTTGCTCTGCATCTGGAGGAGCAGTAACCATAGTAACGGCTAGGCTTTGCTGACCCTGGCTTTGCTGACTCGCCTCGCCGCACAGTTTTCAGGCCTAACCTGGATTCCGTGTAGCGCTGGGTACTTGAGCAGAGACGCTCAGTCGATTGACCCGGTTCTTTTCTTGTATGGTCAATGGTCGGAGGACCTCCGTGCATGTGGTGCGTGGCGCAGCGCCTCTGGGTTTGTGACGGCACCCGCTTGCTGCCCCTGCCCACACTACACTATTTCGGTAACTGAGTGTTTGGCAGAGCGTTGACTCATTTGCTCTATGAATGGCGCTTTTCCTTTTCCTGCGTGTGAATATTTAAAAGGATTAGGTCTAGCCTGCTGAAGGATATGATGATGCTGTGGGTGTTGTAGAGGCTTTGTGTGGTAAAATATACAATTGATGTATATGCGTGTGATTAACATTTGCTTTAGCTCAAAATTAAAACAGAAAAATCCTATAGAAAAATATGTATAAAAATATTACAGCTTTGTAATTACCTTCTTTTTTGTGTTGGGTAATTATGTTATCATGTTCATTTCCCCAAAAGCGAAAGACAGTAAATAAAAAATAAAATAAAAATAAAACTGACTACAATAATGACCCTACATGAGATGTTTTGGAGAATAGATGCAAAATAAAATTAAAATGATTTTTTTTTATAAAATAATTTACTTAAATATTAAAGTATTTAAAGTGGAGCAGGAAAGCAGCAGGAAAATCAACAATCCAGAGTCAATCCTGCAATGACAAACAGCAGTATAGTGTCAAAATAAAATTAAAATAAATAAAATCATATTAAATAAAAATGTTGTAAAATATTAAGGTATTTAAAGTGCTTCTTAAATGAGTAGAAAATCTGTAAAAATTAGAAGTCCAGAGTCGGTCTTGCGACGACAAACAGCAGTAGTGTAAAAATAAAATAAATAAATAAATAAAACTGACTAAAATAATGAACCTACATAAGACGTTTTGGAGAACAGATGCAAAATAAAATAACAATTTACTTAAATATTAAAGTATTTAAAGTGCTTGTAAAATGAGTTGGAAATCAGTAGGAAAATCAAAAAATCCAGAGTCAATCCTGCAATGACAAACAGCAGTAGTGTCAAAATAACATAGAAATAAATTAAATTAAACTTTTGTAAAATATTAAAATATTTAAAGTGCTTCTAAATTTTGTCAAAAATCAGCAAAAATCAGAAATCCAGAGTTGGTCTTGCGACGACAAACAACAGTAGTGTAAAATAAAATAAAGTAAAATAAAATAAAATCTAAATTTTTATTTAAAGTGCTTCTAAAACATCTAAAACCTCAAATTTGAATCAGTGCGGTCTTCGAAGTTCATCTGACTTTCTCCAGGGGTGGCCAAAACGTTTTCATTCATTTTATATAATACGTAATATATATATATATATATATATATATATATATATATATATATATATATATTAAATCTTAAAAATAAATAACTATAAATGTTCAAAATCAGCATCATCTTTTGACATCATTGGATGTCACTGCTCAGTGCTGATGGTTCCTGTCGGTCTCATGTGTGTTACAGATGTGATGGAGCAGCAGAATGTGTTGCGCTCCAGCTGTTTGGTGAGTGGAGTCCACACCCCTCCCATCCGACGCCACAGCAAGCTGGCCACACTGGGGCGCATTTTCAGGCCGTGGAAATGGAGGAAAAAGAAAAACGAGAAGCTGAAGCAGAGCTCTACAGGTGAGACAACCGGGCTTTTTTGCCCCTTTATTTGTCTGTCTTATATTACTGAAAACATAGTGAAATTGATAATACAGATGGAGTGTTGTGTGATTTAAAAGTACCTAAAAATAAAGGTAATGAAAATAATATTTTAAGTCCAATGCACACCAGAGGCAATTTATACCAAAGATTTATGAATGGGGAAAATATTGCAAGACAATTTTCAATGATCAATTAAAATGACAAAAATGACACAAAATAGTGTGATAGAAGTAGAAATCAAAGCTAACAAAATTAGGGGGCTGTGAACGATAAATATATGGATGGTTATGAGTGATAAGATGATTTTATTCTTTGATAATGCTAATTTAAAAACACTGTTGAATGTAATCTTTAGCAAATCTTAAAATGAATATGAATTTTCCATACTGTACATTATAATTCCGTGTTGCCTAAATTCACTTGTCACAAATTAAATGTCTGATTTTAGTTTTTATTGTTTAAATTTTCTTTTTTATATAGACAAAATAGTATTGAATTTAATATCGACCATAGCATGAAAATAATTATTGGCTTATATCGTCCAGAATTTTTAAATCAATGGATCCCTAACTAGTACTTTATTAATTTCTATAGAGATATTAACTTAGCTTGGGCTGAGAGAAAGAGGACCGAGAACAGACCCCTGGGGGACACCCCAGATAACAGGACTGATGGAGGATTTGTGTTTCAGAAGAAAAGCAAACTGCTGTTTGTCATTGAAGAACTGAACCAGAGGAGAGTTTCCATTTTCAGTGATGCCAACATCTAAGAGACAGAATCCAATAAAGACTTGAGGTCCAGAAGGAGTTGAATATTAAACACCCCTGATTCAGCAGAAAGGAAGAGGTCATTTATGGCCCTGTGGAGAGACGTCTCTGCTATGTAAAGGACATTATTCTGCTTTGAAAGGCTTGTATAGATTATAAAAAAAACTTGGTGCGACTCTAATTGAGGGGAAACAGCTCTGTTCGGCAGTGGTTTGTGATAGGTCTGTAATTATTGAACACAGAAGGACCTAGACAAAGTTTCCTGAGAATTAGGGTGTCTGCAGCAGTTTTTAGTTTTAATGGAACAGAACCAGAGGCAAGAGATCTTTTAATCAAGCGGGAAATGGGTGAAATAATAGCAAACAGCTGTAGAAACAGTTTAGATTCATAATGAGACAATATCGTCATCCCATTTCTACTTTCAAAATCCAATTAAGTTTAGCAGAGGAAGTGATACACAAATGATAGTGGATACATGCAGGGAATGAGGGAGGATTGCTAGTCTTCTGATGGTGTTAAGATTGGGAATGAGTAGGAAAATTATTTAGTGCACTGCGATCCAAAGTCAATCCTGTGGTGGCAAACGGCATGTGTGTCATACTCCATTTTTGGAGAGATTAACCAGTGACTCTTCTACTTCCAAAGGTACAGTTCACCCAAAAATGTTAAATTCTGTCAAATCATTTACTCACTCTCAAATCATTTCAAACCTGTACTGCATATGAAAGTACTTAGTAAAAAGTAAAAAAAAGTAAAATTACAACAATGACACTCAAAAAATATGTAATATGTAGGCCTTAATTTGAGAAGCCTAAAGATTTGCATGTGTGTGTATTTGAATGGCATATCAATTTTCCATCTATTCGGATTACACAGTTTAAATGTAAACTATTAATCTTGATGCAATGCCTATTTGTCAGTCATACATCTGCTCTCCAAAAAAATCATGGCATAGTTTATTATTAACAATTTACATACATTTTATTTTATGAATCATTATTTTCAATCAACATTCTTAATCAAGATGTATTAAAATAGCTTGGAATCAGCATACATTTGTTCATTGTTTTCAGTTAAAAAGTGAAAAGTGTTCAAATATGGCTAGTTGTTGAACAAGCTAAATGAATGAGATTGAAAGAAATTGTATTTATTGATGATAAATATATAAACGTGGTTATTATGTATTTAAAACATTGTTTATTGCAGACATCTACCCTGTTTATTTTTCATTTATGTATGACTGACTTGTATGCATCACATAAAAGTTTATTAGATTGTTTACATTAAAACTGCAATCCAATTAAGGCCATTTTTGGAGTGTAGACTATAAAGTGTAGACTACTCAATTTATGGGCATGACGCTTTATAGCACCCCCATAGAGAACTCAAATAACATCCACGAATGATGACCAAGTCTCAAAGTTAAAGTCACGAACACCTACCGATATCATGTCAGCCAGAGGATGGCACAGATGGAGCTACGTGAGCGTGTGTGAATGAAACCGGTTGTGCGTACGTATATCAGAATCAGAATGAGCTTTATTGCAAGTATGTTTACACATATGAGGAATTTGTCTTGGTGTCAGAAGCTTTCACAGCACAGACAGAATGACAGCGACAAATATAAAATACATAATACAAAAATATACAAATACATAATATACAATATAGCGATATGTGTATGTACAGTGTGTTAGAACTTATGTTGATGAGTGTTTGTGAGTTGAGCAATCTAATGCAAGCCTAAAAGAATGAAAACACTGTTCCTCTGTGTGCAGATGTGGCCTTGGCCTGTGGACTCCATTCTCCAGACCCCGGCTCTCCCATCCGGGGCATCTCCGATGCTGAGATCCGGCTGTCTGGGTCTCAGGGGCCCATTCTCAGCATCAGTAGCATGGAGTACCTCAGCTCAGAGCAAGACAATCTCCCTTCCAGTGAGTGCTCTTCATACGTATATTTAGTACTGTACCACTGTTGCTCAGCCAATAGCAGCAGTTTGGGGCGGGGCTATCTGTTTGACTGACCAATAAAGGATAGGGGGAGTGTGGCTGGGAAACCCGTTTGGAAATGATGACACTCTTCACTGCATCATATTTACAGTGTCACACTTTAAAAGACTTTTGACTTTTTCCCTTTTTGCCAGAATCCTTGACAAACACACAATACACAAATATAACCAATGAACAACAGCCTTGAATTGCATTCCTAATAGTCTAGGCTACGATTTTGTGTTTCCTATTAGTGGTAGATTCTGTACAGGACAACGGGACAATGGAAGAGCCCAATTCAAATGAGGAAGAGGAGGAGGACGAGGAGGCTGTTCCCTCTGAAAATGAGAATGAAGATGTTGAGGAAGATGAAGACGACGGAGAGGAAGATGAGGAAGATGAACCGCAGGAGCAGTCTCCCCCAAGCAGTCACGGCAATCTCGCTTCTCAGCTTAGCACGGAGGAAGGTGTGTTCCTTTTTTCGCTAATGAAAATCAGATCAAATTTGATATTGTGGTATATATATATTATATATGAATGTATTTTTGGTTTCCACAGACCCGGGTAAAGTCGTCGTCGCATCAGTGCCTCATTCAAACTCTTTTCTCCAAAAAGAACTGTCTAGAGTCTCTGATGGCCCCAGTCCTGTGGTTTTAAGAGGGCATTTTACTAATTCTGTGGGGTCGCCGCATATAGGTAGCATACATCCGCCGCTGCCCCCTAGCTGTATAATAGAAGAACTGCACCGAGCACTGGCATCCAAGCTCAGACAGGAAAGGTGAGGATGTTAAACCCATCATTACTTTTATTTGCTTGATTTCAGAATATACATTTTTAGGAGGTCTAAGAAGTATTTTTCTGTAAAATTATTGTCAAAGTGTTTCTTTCTTTTTCTATTTTAGCATTGAGCGAGAGCCAAGTGGAAATGGTGAGAACAGAAAGGAAGCAGAGGAAAACAAGGAAAACGTTCGACAAGACAACTGCTTCACTGACGCTTCAGGAATTATCTACGACATGGACGACTGGAACGAGTCTGTCATTTCTGGTGGGTGTACTATTAAAGAGGCTATATTATGCCCTTTTACTAAGCCTTGTTTTGTTTTTGGGCTCTACTAGAATAGGTTCTCATGATTGAATGTTAAAAAAATTATTTTCACATATTTGACATTGTTGAATCACCTCACTTCCCAGTCTGTCAGTTACACTCTGTTTAGTTCCTGTCTCTATGAAGCCCCTCCTTCTGAATAGTGCAGTGTGCTCTGATTGGTCGGCTGGATCAGTGTGTTGTGATTTGTCAACCTCTTCAAGCTTATTTTGGAAATGTCACGCCCCTTACCATAACCTCGAGTTTCAACACACTACTAACCAGTCCCTCCAGAAAAATGCGATTATGCGATCGCCAAAGTCCGCATATTTATGCGGGGCCGCATTTTTTCAAATACTTCGCAATTTCGCCGCATAAATTGCTGATTTCCGCGGAAAATATGCGGGGCTTGCATGATTTCATAATCCCCGCATTTTCGTCGGAAAAAAGTCACATATATCTTAGCAGAAAGTTGGAAAATGTTGCGTTTGCTTCACACAAGAGCAGCCATTTCCCCCTGTTGCCATGGGAACGTTATGAAGTGAAGTAATTACGCGACGTGAACATCATCGAAAAGCTGTAAAACAGGAGCACACTTTATTTTTAAATATTTCATTTATTCATTTTTACTGAAGTTGTAGTATTCCTCTAGTAAAGCTACAGAACTTGTTTGACTCATCAATGTTTTGTAAGTTTGATGTGTTTATTAAGGTCTTGTAACGCGTTGTGTCGGGAAGAAAAATAGGGATAGCCTATAGCTCACAGCTGAAGTTATCGCAGAGGCCAGACAGACTCACGGAGTCGATTGGCATCTCACAACTCGCACTTTATTCCCAAATCGAACTCGTATAACTGTCTGTCACGCGTTCTACCGTCCACGTCGTTACTTAATAAACAAAATAAGATAAAAGAAGTAGCATCAAACAGAAATTACCCGCACACATGGGGTGTTCGAGGCGCATGGCACATACAAATATAATACTGCAGACAGTTAGACAGGGAGCGCGCAGCTCTTAAAGGGGCCACACCTTATTTCCACTCGTTACAGTCTGAAATAAAACAAGATGAGAAATTAAATATTTCCAGCACTTTCTGTGATGTAGTATGCTTGCTTATCATAGGAAGTAATAAGAAATAACTCTTTACATTAAGGTAGTAGCCTAGTGAGAACAGGGTGTTGGGGAATCACTTTTTTTTTTCTCTTATTCATCAAACCGCAGTTTTTGCAAAGTCCCGCAATTTTAGCAAGTTCCCGCAATTTCATCGCATAAAATTGCATAAATATCCCGCATATTCCATCGCATTTTTAAAGAAAACGGGCATAATCAAGGATTTTTGCCCAACAATCACAAAAAAACTAACTCAACTCAACCAGGCCTCGCATCCTATTTTTTTGCTTATGCCTTGTTTTGCGGGAATTATTTATATGAGGAATACTGTGACGTGGGTATTCCCGGAAGAAAACTGAAGACTACAATCGAAGCGTTTCAGGGAGTTCAGAAACAGTGTTTACTGATATAGAGAATATCTCCGTTTTGGAATGACTTTGTGCTTTGTAACTTTGTAGACCTTTTTTATGCTCAAACAGCAACATTGTAGAAGTTTGAAAACGTAAAGAAGCGTAATAGATCCTCTTTAATGCGATCCTGTAGTTCCTTTGCACATAATCATGAGATACTGCAATGATTTATCATAACTAGATAACTATCTAATTTGTGCAGAATGTTTACCACGATATAGTCATTGGATCAATGCGTTTGTTCATAATACAAGCGGCAATAGAGTAATTTCTGTCTGGAAATATGGAGCACTTTAGCTTGTTATGTCATTAAGTTATGAATTCTTTGGCAAATGTGTGCAGGCACATTGCCAAGGAGGATGAGGAAGGAGCTGCTGGCCGTGAAGCTTCGGAATCGTCCCAGCAAACAGGAGCTGGAAGACAGGAACATTTTTCCTACGCGGAGTGACCAGGAGAGACAGGAGATCCGCCAACAGATCGAAATGAAACTTGCCAAGTAAGTCATAAATGTATGTTGACTGTACTGTATATGCAAGTACTGTATATAAACTATTACACTGCCCTCTTCAGGACATTTTTTGGAAATACATGAGAATGTCATCTTCAGGGACTTGGAGACTGCTTAATACAATTTTTTTTTGCCATACAAATCTGTTATCACTGGCAACCTTTATTCTAATAGTCATTTAGCTACTAATTTATATCCATTAATTACTAAGTCCAGGGGGAATCTTAGCGCTTGAGTTGAGTTGTATGCTCAAACTTCTCCATTAAAGACAGCAAATCTGTTTAGATATCACTTAAGGATTATATGGACAAGTGTACTCATGGAACAGATTATGAAAACAGATTTCGTGCAGAGGTATAGTGTTATCGTACAATGATTGCAATCTGATGTGAAGTATATAGCGGAAACTGGGATTACAGTCAGTTGAGGATTGGAGTTAATCTGAGAGAATAAATCCACTACAGTTTTCATTAGATTACATTTGATTATATACGACTTTAAACACCTTGCTAAACACCTTTAAACACCAAAATGTTTTTTGTTTTGTTTTGCTGTGTTGTGTTTTGCTTTCATGTGTTCTGTTTTGTGGTTTGTTTTGCATTTCTTTGTTGTGCTTGTGTTGTGATTTGCTTTGCTGTGTTTGTTTTGTTTTATGTTTTTGCTGCTTTGCTTTGTGTTTTTGTTTTGTTTTGTTTAATGAATTATTACATTTTAAATGTGGCGTTTTAAATCTCAGGGGCCATTCACACGACATCGTTCTCAACTAAAAACGGAAAACTTTTGATGCGTTTTGGCCGTTCATTTAATCAACAACAGCGTTTTGGGTGCCTAAAAACGCAAACTTTAGAAAACAGGTTTCAAAGTGCACGTTTTTGAAAAGGATACTGTTAATATATCCATGTAAACTATAACAAAACGTGAATTTGTGAAAACGGTGATGTCATGCATATTACTTGTTCAGTAAAGAGATATCGCCACCTACTGGCCTCGCAGCAGAACACAGCGTTTTTAGTCGTTTTTGTGGATACGTGTGAGTGGGGATCATTTTGACAATGTTGTCGTCTGTATGCTAAAGATGCATCGTTGTCGTGTAAACATACCCTCAGAGTTTATAACGTAAGTGAAGATCAATGTTGACATCTGCTACTTCAGCCTACTGATAAATGTAGTGTTTAATATCTGATCTTTACAACTAAGTGCTAGGAAAAATAAAGATGAGGATGGCTTCAGCGCCTCATGCAATTACAGATCTTGTCAGGGTAAGTCTTATGTAATCAGCTGTGGTATACCATTTCACCATTGAAATCAGCCTTTTGTGGATTCTTAGAAGAAACAGCCATTATGTCCAGTTTAATTTAGGCTTCGAGAGAGCTTTGTTCAGGCCGCAGTGACAGATACGAGGTGCTACAATGTTATAAGATGGTATGTGACCATCCTAAGTTATGTAATGCGAGAACCACGAGTGGTTTGTAACAAAGATGTGATTCGGATAAGGATGTGAGTGGAAAGCAGGCCCTGTGCTGCTGATGCAGGTGTTTACACTAGATTAACTGCAGGTTTAGCAACACATTCTACAGATTCATGCATTTGATGGACATTTATCGTGGACATTTATGGACACTGAATGAAATGACTTCTACATATAAAATAGTACTGGATGCTTAACAAACAGTAAATTATTTGTACGCAGGGACTTAATAAACCAACAAATAATTGTTGTGCTTTTGAGGATTTTGGAGCCATAAAACTGGACGTTTTAGCTGCTTATCAGATACTTTCCCTGATAGCAAGGACATTTAGATCTTCTAATCATAGGGTTTAGTGTGTCTTTTACTCTTTGTCAGTTGTTACATTTTAGAGTGGAAAGACTTAGGCTTAAAATGCCTTCTTGGTTCTCCCCAGTAATTATAATGTTGATGATTTTACATAACACATAATTCATACAGTATATTGATATCGAATCTGTATTGATCGCTCAACATGAAATGAGGTTTGAAACCCATTTTATTTTGGTGATGATAAAGACGTGTACTTAATTGTACTAAAAAGTGCTTAAAAGTACTTACAATCTTAAAAGTACATTTAAAAAACTGTACTTGCAGATAATATTAATGAAATAAAAAGCCACGTAAGTGTACTTGGAGCGTTCACTTTCATGACTGTTTCTTAAAACACTTAAGTACAGTTTTAAAAAGCGCACTTAGCAGTAATGTCAAATTATAAGTTTTACTTTTACATTTTAAATGATTATGTTTTAATATTTTGTTGTGCTTTAAGAAGAACAATCATTTGATGTGCTGACTACTAAAGCATGTAGCATTAGTTTGATGTTCTGACTAAAGCATGTTCAGTATTACATTTAAAGTTACATCCTTTCAAATGCAAATTTGTCATAATAAATGTGTAATTAATTACACATATTTAAATAGCCTACATGACACAAGTTTCGGTTACACTTTATTTTAAGGTGTCCTTGTTACAGTGTAATAAGTACTGAGCAATATTGATTAACTACATTACTACGGTCGGGGTTGAGGGTTAGTTGCTTGTAATTATGCATAATTTACTGTTATTACTATTGCAAGTACATTGCAAGCAGTGTTACCCAAGTTTGAACTGACATTAAAAAATATTTTAGATTACCATAAATGCTTGTCAGTACATTCGGCAGTGCACTTCAACCATATTTCAGAGACAATAGAAGTAAATATGAAATTACATAATAAAGATGGACTTAAGCACTACTTAAGTGGGTCAAAAAACAAACAAACAAATGAGTTTTCTAAATGCTTTTAATTCCAAGTTTAATTTCCTGAAAACATTACATTCAGTTTGCACTTATATATTGCAAGTATATTCTTTTAATTCTGTAACTAGTACTTCTTTTATAAATACTTTAGTGCATGACTTTATTTTGAGGCATTGACTGCATTTTGAAAAGCATGCGCCAGAATGAAAGCATGAAAAATGAGAAGGATCAGGTCAGGTCAGGTCAGCCGAGAAGGAAAGTCGTTTCAGAGGTCGAGCATGTTTTTACTTTATGATGAAAGCTTTTTTTTTTTGGGGGGGGGATTAACATGCGCTCATGAATCGTTCACATAAGACGGGGAACATGTACACTATTATGGTACGGTCAATTTTAATGTCATGTTTAGGTGACAGTGACAGTCAGCATAAATGAGTATAACTAGGCCAGAGTGAAGTGTGACGGTCAATGCACCTGCAGGACAGGCTGAAGTCTGAGCGAAACACACACTGACACTTTGCCGCAGCAGCATGTCATGACCTTCCTATCTTTGGCTTGCCTTGCTTTACTCCGCCACTGAAGAAAGACACGGCTGGAGCTATTTTTAGAGCTCAGACTGGTGAATAATGGATGGTAGTGCGTGTTCCCCTCCTCCATCTCCACCTCACTGTAGTGAACACCAAACACGGCGGTAGTCTACTGTACTTCTCACAGCAGCTTCTCCTATCTGATGGAAATATGTTACGATGAAGCACACTGCTGTCCATCTGTTAATTAAACCGGTCTGATGAATGACCTGTGTATAATGGAGAGCAATGCCACGAGCTTCCAGTGTTGCACCGGCAGATCTCTTTGTTTCCGTGTTCACGGGGAAGCTACTGTTGCTAGGCAACTCGTGATACAGGTCAATAATATCCAGGCAGCTTCCAAGGGAGCTTTGGGAGTTGGTCTCCATTTCAGTTCATGAAATATTAACACCGCCACATCTGCTGGAATCCCGTCTTACTCAGCTTATATGAGTGACAACAGTGTTACAATGGCTGGAATGCAGTCTAATGCTGTAAAACGTCTTCTTAATCAGATCTCGCCGTAGATCTTGGCATAACAAAGTATTTTTATATTAATAGTTTGTTTGAAAGCAATTTCCATGAGGCAACATGCCGTTCTTACGACTATTGCAAATCACAACAAAGTTGAGTCGGTCCTGTTGTACAGCATTTTCGACTTTGTTACGTTTAATAATGTTTCGTAAAAAATATAATAATAAATATTTCTTTAAAACAGTATAGCAGACTTGTAAAAATATGATTTGAAATATACTGATTTAGGTAAGACATTATTTTACAGTGTCCTTGTTACATAATTATGTTACATGCACTTAACATAATAACAGTAAATTATGCATAATCACATGCAACTAACCCTAAACCAAAATCCTAATCTAACCCCATAGCAGAGGTGGAAAGAGTAATAAAATATTCTACTCAAGTAAAAGTACTACTACTTCAATTAAATTTTACTTAAGTACAAGTAAAAGTACTGGTCTAAAAATCTACTCAAGTAAAAGTAAAAAGTAGCTCATTTAAAATTTACTCAGAGTAAAAGTTACTGAGTAACTTTTTTAACAGCGGGGTGGTGTGGGGGAATCCCCCGTGTAGGGTTGTAATGGTATGAGATTTTCACAGTATGATAACGTCTCAGAAAATATCACGGTTTACAGTATTAATCAATTAATAAATAAATAAACTGTATTATTAAATTATGGGTATTATTATTATTATTAATTATTCTTTCAGTTAAAATGACAGTTAAATTAAAGGGTCACTTCAGGATTTAGCATTAAGCTTTGTATTAGTAGAAAACCTGTAGTATTTTCGAATTACCGTGCTCATTTCTTCTACATAAATGACCCAGACCCATTTTAAATACACATTCATCTTTCCAGAGGTGAAGTGCCCCTTTAATGAAAACAGGATTTTTTTTTTTGGTTGAACAAATGCTTTTATTATAACAAACTTGAAACCATTTGTTTGTTTTGTTTATTAAAATTTCAATAAAACATGTCTAATCAATTAAATTTGATAATTGATAATGAATTAGATTAACAACTTATTTTTAACATTAATAATTTAATAAAATGTTTAAGAAAAATATTGTCCTATGAAATGTATTTTATTCAAAAAAATTAATGTTTCTTTTTATGATTTAATCCAAATATATTATCAAAAACGGTTGTAATCAAATGTAAATTTAAAATTGTGTCCTTTTATTTTTTGGGGAAGCGCTGCAAAAACAGATTTACTAAATTAAACCATGGACAAAAACTATATTCCTTTAAATAATGTTTAAATAAAATGTATTATTATTGTTGTTATTATTATTATTTAGAGAAGTAGGCTACGTTCTATTGTATGCCTATAATAGTAATATATTTCTGTCCTAATTTCTCCTAGTAAAACCAAACTTTTATTTTGACGGGTTGTAGTGAAGACCAAAAGTGTTTCAAAGTGTATTTGACAATGGTTTATCTCAAATAAAATTATGAAAATGCTCATTAGGCGTTCTCTCAGAGCAGCTCTGGAAATGTTCATGTATTCATATCCTCAAATTGTTTGTGAGACTCTGAATGTCACGCGTACTTGAGTATGTAGTAGACAAAGCGGCGCAGCTCAGCAGAACAAATAGGGTTATATTTACATGCAGTATTTTTGTGCTAAGCTTAAATATTCACAGACCATGTCGCGATTGGATTTATTGGACAGTTCTACTTTCCATGTAGGCTATTCATCCATCCATTATTTTGCGTGTTTTACGTGACATCTGCGTTATGTAAATTTCATTTTCATGACTGGATTCCGGGGTTCCCTCTGCATCACGTAAATCGGGACATACCTTTATCTGCAGGACGGATGGTGTCCTATATCCTCCTTTTTGACATTTTTTGCAAATTGGATATCTATCCTCGAGGACAACCACGCTTTTTTTCTACAAAGTATTTTCATACTGGCCAGTGGCAGTGGCCATAATTCGCTTGGCGCTTCGGTTTCAGCTTCAGCTGTGTCTGCGTCACCTTTTTTGCGCGTTTGTTCTCCCGCCCTTCAATCAATGCTGTAGTTTCCGGAGTGTGATTTTTTCTTCTTTTTTTTTTTTTACTCAGTAACGGATATGATTTCAAATGTAGCGAAGTACAATACTTCAAAGAAAACATACTTAAGTAAAAGTAAAAGTACCGATTTTAAAAACTACTTTAAAAAGTAGAAGTACACAAAAAAACTACTCAATTACGTAACGCGAGTAAATGTAATTCGTTACTTTCCACCTCTGCCCCATAGTAAGTACATTACTTAAATATATAATTACACTGTAACAATGACACCTTAAAATGAAGTGTAACCCGGATTTATGTTGTTACTTATTACAACTCATTGTTACTTTTTACAACTTGTTACTTAATACAACTTATAAGACTGGGGACGCAGGGGGGAAACTGTAAATTGATCACACATTAAAATAATATCCTACCCAATTAAACATTTTATTTAGAGAAAGGAGAAAATAAATAAACACCTGGAATATTAAATCGACATTTTTCATGTCCGAATTTAATGCGCATCACGTGGCAAAATCAACTCAAACCCGTAGTGAAATGATGTACAACTATTAAAAATGTACCTTTTATTTAATGGTGAAACGTGATCGAGTAAAACTCACACTATGATTTCTGGATTAATATATATAGTATATATAGCCTATAGTAAAATATTACGACATACACGGGGACATACTGCATGATCTAGTTGCTTTGCTCTATGATTTCTACTTGCTATTTGCCAGCATATTATATTCAAATGATCAATTATCAAACGATCGCTTAACCTAATACTACTACAAAGGCGCGTGGAGAGACAGTGCGCGCTACAAAGAGCGCGCGTGGAGCTCTCATCACTCGGCACGCGCCAGCCTGTTCAAAAGAGCGCGCGCCCGCACTCAAACCACAACAAGGAGCACGAGTTCTGTCTCTCTCGGACCGTTATACACACGGAGACTGCACTTTCTCACTCATTTAAGTCTAGTCGGCACCGCCTCTTGATAATTGGTGTTTATTTAGCAAAAGGGCTCAAAAGCCCGGCGTTTGAGCATCCAGATGAGGAGTAATAACTGCCAGGCTGAACACAAAGGACGGAGAGACTTTGAGCGTCCCTTCAGAGTCTCCCTCCCTCACCGCTGGGTCTCACTGAGCGGCTCCTGCTCCTGCTTCTGCACGGGACAGTAATGGTTCAAAACCATATTCTGCTCTTTTTCCGCAGGAGACTCAGTCAACGGCCGGCCGTTGAAGAGCTGGAGAGCAGAAATATTTTAAAACGTGAGTATTACACGATAATCAACAAAAATAGAAATGTGAATATTTAAATGTAATAATAATTTAAAAGTAATAATAACATTGTTTATGATATTGCACATTAATACGTTTTTTTTTCCATTTACCAATAAATGTTTAGGTTTCAGGATTTTTTTTAACCAAACTGTGTAAAAAGATGATTCACAACTATGTTATATAGGAGATATAAGGGAATTTACTGATATACCATTTTACTTTATGCAATATGTGGGTAAAATGGTCATTAATGGGTAGTCCCATTCAATACAATGTATCTTTACACTGTATCTAATTTGCATATTAATGTGTTCTTGGGGCTATTATTATCTAATGAAAAAAGAAGTGTAATAATCGAGTAATCATTGGCAACATTTTTTCAAAATAATATCTATTATTTAATAGGAATATTGATATATAATTTCTTTCCCTGTTTGATGTGTCTCCAAAATGGCTGATAAACATGCTGTTTGTCCTGGTGTCTCTACAGTGGACATGTATGAAATCATACATGAAAGTCATTTTGATTAGAAACCCCATACCTTTTTCTTTAAATGTTGATTTATGACAAACAATTTGAAAATGAGTCAGATTTAAATGGTAATTACAAATATAGTTGAAATAGTAAGTAAATTGCTAAGTGAAAAGTAATACAGTCCGATAAGACATTTTTAATCAGCATGTTAATTAAATTAAATGTTTTTTTTATTTTATTTTATTAAATTAAATGTTTTTGGGGGCTGTTAAGGTGAAAATGTTGTTGACATGCTTTTTGACTAAGGCATAAAGTAATGTTATTGTGTCTTCCATTGCTTTGTACTGCACACAAAATCACTACGGAGTATTATATCAAATAGATTACTGTAATCTGTCTGTCAGATAAGACACATCAGAGAAAAACAAGGCTTGCTAAAGCAGGCATGAGAAGTGACCCCTGTGACTGTGCACTTGATTAGATCGCCCTCATTGAGTCTCTCTTTTGCTCTTTCAGAGAGGAACGATCAGACGGAGCAAGAGGAAAGAAGAGAGATCAAACAGAGACTCAACAGAAAGGTAAACACTCTATGCTCAGTTTCATTTCACTTACAGCATGCTTTATTTTCCTCACGGTCACTGAATGTAAGGAAGCTGTGGTCTGTAAAATTATTACGCTCCTAATATTTCTACTTGTAATAAGACATTATTCAACACCGTCTAATGCTGAATAAAGATTCACGCCCCATTCAAGGACAAGCAGTGGTTTTCAAAAGGGCAAAGCAATTTTGTGTAATAATTTTCAGAGTTAGTTACATCGGATGTATCAGATTGAGAGAACTTCTATAGAAGCATTCAGACCATAGATGATGAGAAGAAAAGAAAAAGAGAAGAGTTGACATGAGAGCAGGACCTCAATTATTGAGATGGTTAACAGCATGCGTTTAAATGTGTGTGTGTGTGTGTATATATATATATTTTTTTTTTTTGCTTGCCTTGCCTGCATTATTTCATGGTAAAAAAAAAAATATCATAAATTTACCTCAAAATGACGGCGTGATATATAGAGTAATATAAACATTTAAAGAATTAAATTGAATGAATTAAGCATTTATTCTTATATATTGGAATCCGTTTTTTGGCTTATTTTTTCTAGTTTGCAATTAATTGCACATTAATTACACGTTGTTATTATTATTATTAAAATTTAGCAATGATAACAACAACAATAATACTACTAATAATTATGTTTTGAAATAATTTTGTTTTATGGCTCTTTCCCCCCCAGTGTGCAATTCATTTCTCATTATTTACATTTGATTAAAAGTTGCTGTATTTTTTTGACTGTACTAAAGCATAAAATATCATAGCATGTTCCTTAAATCTCAGAGCAAACATGCTAAGTTCAAATACTTGTTAGTTATTCTACTTTGAAATGTGCGTTCCGTGTCGGAATGTTTTGTTTCGGCTCCTGCAGAAAAAGTGCATCTCATAACTTGTACGCGGCCCCATTAACAGCACTCTTTTTCTTACAGCTCAACCAGAGGCCAACAGTTGATGAACTAAGAGAACGAAAGATTCTCATCCGCTTCAGTGATTACGTGGAGGTGGCCAAAGCCCAGGATTATGACAGGAGAGCTGATAAACCCTGGACGAGACTGTCTGCTGCTGACAAGGTGCGTGACAAACAGCTGATGTCAGAAAATCTTTACAGTGATCTTCAGTTTGTCTTAAATTCAATAAGACAGCACAGAGAGAAATTCTTCTTCTTATTATTATTATTAGTGATTCTCTCAAGGTTTTTTGTTAAGCGGATAAAAGGCAATCTAATTTGTGTCAGTAGTCATAACTGTATGAAGGTAAAAGAGTAGCAATACTCGAGAGCACGTCTATGTGAATTTGAGAACTTGTACAATAAATATTCGTATGTGTATGTAAACATTTACACTCACAGCTCCAATGTGAAAACCTGTAAAAATAAAAATCTGAAGTTGAATGTTGAAATTTGCACTCGCAGACAATAGTCACAAACCTGTATTCTGAATTTGAAGCTGCAGACAAGCAGTCACAAATGTGTAAAATGCCATTCACAGAAATACAATGACAGTCACAAACATGTAAAATATAAGTTCAAGTTCAGATTTTTATTTTACAGGTTTTCACATTGGAGCTGTGAGTGTAAATGTTCACATACACATACGAATATTTATTGTACAAGTTCTCAAATTCACATCTACGTGCTCTCGAGTTTTGCTACTAATTTACCTTCATATAACTGAAGCAGCTTGTCTGTCAACATGAATCCGTGCACTTTTTACTTGCAGATGCGTTTAAGGGTGTGTTCACACTTGGCAGGTTTGGTTGGATTGAAACGAACTCTAGTGTGGTTGCTCTGTTAGTGCGGTTCAGTTGAATAAGTGTGAACGCTGTCATCCAGACCTTGGTGCGCACCAAACAAGCGGACCGAGACCCACCATTTTAGTTGGTCCTTGTCTGCTTTCTAACAAACTCTAGTGCAGTTTGACTGAAATATGAACGCGATATGGACCAAAGACATCTAAACAAACCAAAAACAGGATGCAATCACAATATGCAACCCTAAAAAAGACAGAATGCTCAAGCATACCTAGTTCTTCTCTTCATAGGAGCTACATTGCCCATTACAGCCTATACAGCAGATCTTTGTTTGTCATTTGTGTGTGTAATGGAGGAATTTATGCCGCTGTTTTGACTCCTTTACACATTTTATAAGCTCTTTATTAGTTCTCAACCGGTAAAAATACCATTATATGGACACAAATGCAGGCACATTTAGCCAAGCACACAGCTTTCTTTGGATCTTTGGCAAGTTCTGTCGCAAAATATACAATATATATATATATGTATTGTTTCCTATATACAAAAAAAGCAATTTTGTGAACACTTAGTGAACCAGGACTAAATGTATCATATTCTTTTTGGTCCGGACCAAAAGAAACGAGAACCGAAAGTGTGAACACACAGGTTAGTTCACCTAAATATCCTGGCTCTTCCAAGCTGTATAATGGGAGTGTATGGTAACTTCGTTTTTGAATCCCAAGAAAGTGCATCCATCCATCATAAAAGTAATCCATACGACTACAGTGGGTTAATAAATGCTTTCTGAAGCGAAGCGATGCGTTTTTGTACAGAAAATATCCATATTTATAACTTTATTAACTATATTGGCTTCTGGTAACAACCGTACGTGAGTCTAGTTTTGGCGGAAGAGTGACCTCTGACCCGACGCATGACGTATGATGTTGGAGTAGCGTAAGCTTAGGTGAGAGTTGACGCCTCTCGCGGTTCAAACAAAGAGAGCTGGGCAACAAACTCAAGCTCCTCCCACACTTATCTGTAAAAATTCTCGCTTTAGACTTCTAATTCGTGACTGGTGTTTTGTTTTGCTCGATCCTCTGCGCTTCCACGTTCACCAATACGTCACGTGTCAGGTTAGGGGTCACTCTCTCCAGCCGCAAAAGCTAGTTATTATAGCTAATGAAGTTTTAAATATGGATTTACGTTGGGCCAGAGGTCACTCTTCTGCCGGAACTAGACTCGCTTACAGCCTTTAACGGAAGCCAGTGTTTATAAAGTTATAAATATTGATACTTTTCTTACAAAAACGCTTCAGAAGGCCTTTATTAACCCCCTGGAGTCCTATGGATTAACTTTTATGATGGATGGATGCGCTTTTTTGGGCTTCAAAATCTAAGTTACTATTCACTTCCATTATAAAGCTTGGAGGAGCCTGGATACATTTTATATAACTCAGATTGTGTTTGGCTGAAATAAGAAAGTCATTTACACCTAGGATGGCTTGGGGTTGAGTAAATTATGGATTAATTTCATTTTAAGTGTAGGGTGATCAGATTTCTCATGGTGGAATACGGGATGGACAGGCACTCGTCTGACTTGATCTCCTCCACGCTCTCCGACTTCACTAACTGCAAGTTAATCGATAACGAATTGTGATTGAATGGTAATTTTGTTCTCCAAAATATGCAAGATTTGCTACCTTTGATTAGGCTATTCTCACGTGACAGAAGCCTGCTACTCACTTTTATGATCACCTAGAAAAGACAATTTAGGAAAGAAGAAAAAACATGATTTTTTTCATTCAAAGTCAGGACACTGAAAATAGAGCTGGAAACCGGGACGTCTGGTAACCCAACTTAAGTGGCTTTTTATCAAAGTCCCTTTAAGGCAACATTTCACTCGGCGGCCATCTTTGACTAAAATCTTTGCTTTTATTTGCGATTCCACAGGCGGCCATCCGCAAAGAGTTGAACGAGTTCAAAAGCACTGAAATGGAGGTCCATGCTTCAAGCAAGCATCTAACAAGGTCAGTATGTGTGTGTAACCCTCTCACAGATGTGCCCTCGCTATTTTTAGACAGACAAAATCCAGAGCCGAAGACAAACGGCCTGGTCCAAAAGTGACTGGGACACGTATATATGAAATTATGACTGTGTCACCTTGATATGAGTGGTTTGGGATAAAAGGTTGCTCTCTACATAATGATGACATTAGTGGCCATTAGAGCTCTAATGTTTGATCTTACTAAAAATAACTGATTGATGCAACACACTATAATCAAGTCCTGTCCAATCATATGGTCGTGTTTGTGAAAGGCACCTTTGTTGATTTGTCTCCTCTCGATCAGGTTTCACAGGCCCTAAGAGGGGGTTTTCTTCTGTGAAGAAAATGCTGAAAGTGGCGTTCATGTTAAATCCTGGAGGTGCCTCTTCCAGAGCTGTGGCTTCGTCCATGGGATTCCCTTATTCTTCCAGCGGCTTGGGCCGAGTGGTGTTTGGGGGTGGTCAGCGCTGGAGGCTGCGTCTCCTTCACGGACGGCCACAGGGACAAACCTGAAGGACATCTGCGGAGACATTTAACCTGAGGCTGACGGAGTGGAGCGGCAGAAGACTTTTTGATGTTTTTAAAACTGGACTACATTTCAATGACTGCTAAGGAAAGATGAATCAGTTCTGGGTAAATGTTTGTGTACATGTAACCAGCCTCACTTGAAAAATAAGTAAAAAGAAGAAAAAAAGAAGAAGAAAGAAAAATAAACTTGAGGGTTAATAAGCCTGCTATAAATGAATTTCATATTTACTGTACAAAAGTCCGTTTGAACAGGGTTGTTCATGTCATCACTTGAAAAAAAAACTAAAAAAAACTTTGTAAGCACTACTTGTCTTCAAAATACAATTTTGGAAATACTCCTGTGTTGTTAAGTCTGATTATATACCCACACAAAAGTTTGGGATTGGTAAGATTTTTTTTAATGTTTTTGGCTCAAGACTGATTTTTTTTTAAATCAAAAATACAGTAAAACGGTAATATTGTGAAATATTATTACAATTTAAAATAACATATTTTTCTATTCCGTTTTCTATTTTAATATGTTAAAAACTAACTCATTCCTGTAATGCAAAGCTGAATGGTCAGCATCACTACTGCAGTCTTCAGTGTCACATGATCCTTCAGAAAACTGCCATTTGAAATGGAAATCGGTTTTAAAATTATAAATGTCTTCGTCACTTTCGATCAGTTTAATTCATCTCCGCTGAATAAAACGATTAATTTCCTTATGTAAACACTCAACGGCAACTTTAGGTACACTTTGCTAGTAACAGGTTGGACCCTATTTTGCTCTTTCATGATGTGAATCTCCAGCTCCTGTTCCACCACATCCCAAAGCTGCTCTATTGGATTGAGATCTGGTGACTGTGGAGGCCGTTTGAGTTTAGTGAACTCATGTTCAAGAAACCAGTTTGAGATGATTGTGACATGGCATGTTATCCTGATGGAAGTAGCCATCACAAGATGGTACACTGTGGTCATAAAGGGATGGACATGGTCAGCAACAATTCTCAGGTCAGCTGAGATGTTTAAATGATGCTCAGTTGGTGCTAAAGTGCCCAAAGTGTGTAAAGACCAGCAGCAGCCTGAACCGTTGATACAAGGCAGGATGGATCCATGCTTTCATGTTGTTTACACCAAACTCTGACCCTACAGTCTGAATATCGCAGCAGAAATCGAGACTCATCCGACCAGGCAACATTTTTCCAATCTTCTATTGTCCGGTTTTGGTGAGCCCATGTGAATTGTAGCCTCAGTTTCCTGTTCTCATCTGACAGGAGTGTCACCGGTTTTTCTTCTGCTTCTGTGGCCCTGTATTTGCTTCAAGGTTTGGCGTGATGTGCGTTCAGAGATGCTCTTCTGAAGACCTCGGTTTTTACGAGTGGTTATCTGTTATCTGAGTTACTGTTGTCTTTCTATCAGCTGGAACCAGTCTGGTCATTCTCCTCTGACCTCTGGCATCAACAAGGCATTTTCTCCCACAGAACTGCCGCTCACTGGATATTTGATCTTTTTCTTTACCATTCTCTGTAAACCCTACAGACGGTTGTAATCCCAGTAGATCAGCAGTTTCTGAAATACTCAGACCAGCCCATCTGGCACCAACAATCATGTCACATTAAATAAGTCACTTAAATCACCTTCCTTCCCCCATCTGATGCTCAGCTTGAACTTCGGCACCGACTTGACCATGGCTGAATGAGTGAATGAAAAGGAGTGAGTGAATTCGGACAGTCGTTGGGCATACATCGGTTGTAAACTCGTTATTGCAGTGCATTGTGGGATTGAATAAGTGCACTCAATAACGTCCACTATGGTTTCGGACACCACTCCAAATGGCTGTCCCCTCAAATAATGCCCTAATTGAGGGTATAGGGGGCGATTTCAGATTCAGCCTTTGTCTCGCTTGCGCATAAAATGTCTACATGCCTAAATGAGTGGCTGCCATGTGATTGGCTGATTAGATATTTGCGTTAACATGCAGTTTGAAAGGTGTACCTAATAAAGTGGTCGTGTGTGTTCAAAAAAATCTTACTGGCCCCAAACTTTTGAACAGTAGTCTATGCATGCATTCACACACACACACACACGCGATTTATATAATATAAATAGATACTGCAGGAAATGTAAGCCATGAAACCTCTAATTCCCATGTATTTTGACTGTGGCATTTATGGAGGACACTAATTAAATAAATAAAAACAGTAAAGTTTTCAGGCTTTATTTTTCAACCAGATTTATTCTCCCATTAATTGAACCCATGAGGTTTGCTTATTCAGGCCTTTGCTAGTGAACGCAAAAAAAGAAAAGTTATCTCGACTTAAGATGGTTTAAGAATCCAGAATCCACTTTTTAATTTCTGCGCACATAAATCTAAAGGTGATTATTATGAGGTGGAATGTTACAAATAAATACATTAGGTCTTACATCACCTATAACATTTACTTCGTTTTAGAGACACTTTTCACAACTATTCATTATTCATATTAAAAATCACAAGCAAATATGCGCACAAAAACCATATACAGCCAACACATTTTTTTTCAAGGACACCAGAATAAACCTCATAAAGTATAATATTCAAAGTAAAAAAATCAACCTTTTGAATAGTATTAATTTAAAAGAACATAACATTAATAACATCAAAGCATACAAACATATTTGAAGAATGGTTTCAATAAATTTTTTTCAAAAGGGTGTTTTTTTACTCCGGTCAGAACCTGGATGGATCTGGGAAGAACAAGGTCTGTAGTCCTCTTCGCACACTCGTCAAATCTTCATCTTGCTACAAAGACGAGAACAATTCCATTCAGTCCTGAAGAAATTGATGTGAATTTAAGTATTAAATATCTGCCCCACTCACCATTTCTTTGAAGAAACGCTCCTGAACTGACTTCATGTTTTTCTTCATCAAAGACACCTGCAACAGAAGCAAACTTGGTTCAAAAAGTGTCTAATCTTGACAATCAATGCTTAAAATGGATTTGAACTGTACATATAGTTGTTGTAACCCAATAACTACAATTATCAAACTGTTCTGGACCCCACAGATTCAGATCCTCACCTCCAAAGAGAAGATTTGTTCCTCATACTCTAGACAATCATGTGCATCAGTCTGAACCGTACTTTTTAACTGCTGTAGTCTGAAACGACAAAATCTAGTCTTTTTAGCTGCCCTTTTTTCAAAGCTCTAATGAAATCACAAGATTCTTGCCATTATAACACTACAGAGTGAACAAATAAGCAGCATTACATAAATCTTGCACCATTTTAGCTATGAATGGCTGGGAAATGCTGTTTGTTACTGCAACCCAGAACGGCCCACAGATTGTTTCACAGTGATAAACAGGTATTGTGATTGCATTTACATTACAGCTAGGAAATCGATGGCATTCATCTCATGTTCATCCTGTTATATTCTCACCTCTTGGTTCCTTTCTCTTGGTATTTATGGAAGGCCAATGTCTGCTTTTGCCAGTAAGTCTGCAAATAGTTTGATTAAATCAGAGGCCATTTACATAAAAGTTATTTTTTTATTATTATTCTTATTACAAGGCACTTGGCAAGTCAGCACACTCACGGTCAGTTCCTCCTCCATGCTCCTCAAAGCCATGTCGTCTTGCTCCAGGTCTTCTATTTCACCCAACAGGACTTGTTTTACTTTCTCCAGCCTCTGAGAACTATATAAGGAGAACAGACAAAGAAAGCAGAAGAGGTGCATATCAAAGCTGGTTGAAGGCAGAAACTCGGACCTCTTTTAAGTCGAGGGTCATGTCTGACCTGTACTGGTGTACTTGGACACTGACAGAGGACATGTGTTGCTGTAAGGTCTTTAAAGACTGTCTGGTGTAAAGATCCATTGTCCTGCAGCGATTCTGAGAAGCACACAAGAGAAGTTGCTGGAAAAGGCGAAAAAACACTCATTGAATGCAGAGCGTTTGAATGCTCAAAGAGTTGTTTAGTGAGAAAAGTGAGATGAATAGCACCTTGAGCTTCCTCTTAATCTCTGAGCTGAACTGATGGCAGATAAAGCCCACCTCCTGAGCAGGCTGGGTCAGGTCGATGTCTGCCTCCACACTGGCATGCCTGCAACTGGACCTCGTACAAGATGACAGTGTCTCCACTTCCTCAGCTGCAGGAAACACACACACACACACACATTAGTCAAACTTCAGCACATTCAAAAGCAGTATACAGTACAGCTGAGCTTCTGAACCATTCAGTTATTCATGAGATTTTTTGTTTTGTTTTGAAGAAATGTATACTTTTATTTAGCAAGGATGCATTAAATTGATCAAAAGTGACAGTAAAGACATTTATAATGTAACAAAAGATGTTTCAAATAAATGCTGCTTTTGAACTTTCTATTCATCAAAGAATCCTGAAAAATGTATCAGTAAAAATTAGTAATGATGTTGAAAATTTAGATTCTCATCATAGGAATAAATAACATTTCGACGTATATTACAATAGAAAACAGTTATTTTAAATTGTAAAAACTTTTAATAATATTGCCGTTTTTACTGTATTTTTGATCAAATAAACGCAGCCTTGGTGATCTCTTTCACACTCTCTCTCTCTCATTACTGGAGATTGTTGTTTCATTGGCCCTTTTATTCAGGCCTCTCTGGTAACTTTTCTTTCTTCTTCCGTTGTCTGCGACTATGTCCTCATCCTCTTCCTCTGAGCTGCTCTGATCCTTCACCGGCAGTTTAATATTGGGGCCTGAGGCACAGAAACACAAAGTCATTCACTGAATCAAACAAATCAGGGCGATTTTTCCCAGCAGAATCACCGGTAACAGTGCCTGATGAGTCAGGATTGGGATTAATATGTGTCTGGGAAACTTAATGAGAAGCACATTCAGTTAAACTGACTGCAAAACCTAAATATTCAGTAATTTGCTATGTGTTATATTAGAGACTACATCACATATGTCAAAACAATAAACCACATCTTCAACAAGGGTTGCTTAGTTTTTATCCTCGCTGTGTCATGCTGGGTAGCTCTGCCCACAGTTAAATCCCATTGGTCCAAAATCTCGCTTTACATGGCTGTATATTAAAGATGCAATAGATGATCTGGGAAATGCTAACTTTAGCCTGCATTGAAGGCATACGATCCCCACCCTCCCTGTAAATTTCCATTAACATAAATGCGCACAGACCAGAAGCGAGATGACCAGTGACAACGTTATTGGATTACATCATGTGTCATTCACCGGTGAGAAAACTTTACAGTACAGTGTGAGAAGAAACCGCTTGCTTGCATGCAGAAGTAAGTGATTGTGAAATGACAGGTCAATTGACCTGTTGACATAAAGGAAAGATTGCACTGCAGTGTTTCCTCTAGGATTTTTTCCAACTGTGGTGGCAGGCCCATTTCCCCAGTGGGAGGGGGTGTGGCCCATGAGTGATATTCCCAGGTGTTTAAACTTCCCCTAAGCATTATAACATGAAAGGCTCCAATAAGAGCGGCAAAGCGATTATGCGCATCCCGTGTGCAGAATGATGCACTTGAAGCAGCGCAAAGTCACAGCGAGTAGCGCTTTGCATTGAAAAGTTCAAAGCACAAAGCGAAGAGATTATATCTATCTATGCTTAATGTATTCTATCTATGCAACAGTTTATTTAGCCTTTTTTTAACAGTTTTAAATTTCAGTTACAGTGCGAAATTCGAATTTCAGTTACAGTGCGCAATTCATAGCGCTCTCTACTCCAGTGCTGTAATCTAGCAGACACCCAGGAGAAAGGAATATGATTTAGAAAGCGCTATAAACTCCAGCAAGATAAAGTCATTTTATGCAAACTATAGACCTTTATCTACAAATAAAGTATAATAATGGGAACATTGATCCTGAAGAGAGTGTCGTCGTGTTACTGTCGTAACCGAACGCGACGCGCTGTTTGAATGCTGAATGGAGAATGACTGAGGAGAGATGAGTTTCCATTAACTTTAACTTAACGACTTAAATATTCATTTTTACCTCACATTATGCTATTGAATGACTTTAGAAGTCTTGGAATATAGTGCGAAAACTTTATTGTGCTTTTCAATGTTTTTTATGCCTTTAGTGGGGCTTAACAAATAGCACAATATCGGACCTCACTGAGAAGCTGCAGCCGTGGCGGGATGATTTTAGGTGTGGCGGCCCGCCACGGCAGAATGAATGTAGCGGAAGCACTGTATTTCAGCTTTATTCATATGCGATTTCAGGACATAGCGTCAACACAGTCGAATCTCACTGAATTATCTGCATAGGGCAAAGTCATCGTTACATAGACCTGTACTGTCAGATACAGAAATGTAGATACTTTCCACTTGTCTGTTTGCCTGCCATTCTCGCTCTGTCTGCACAGCGTACGTACGTGAAACGTGCTGATGACGTATGATGTCTGCGCGAACAGGCTGCGCAGTGGTATGCAAACACACGTTGACACACGGGGAATACATGGTATTAGGGCTGGGTAAAAAACATCAATTTCTCGATTTTAATCGATTCTCATTTTTACGAACCGATATTGATTCTTAAATCCCAAGAAAGATTAGGCTAGTCATCCTGTTTTCAGCTGATGAATGAATGGAACATTGTAGCGAGCATCCCATCCAATAAATCCCAATAATCTTTGTGCTTTGTTACTATTGATATGAAACAAAGTCTCAGATTTCAAATTACATCCATTTTCTTACGAAATTCAAAAACATAAATATTGTTTTGGCGCTGTGGCGTGAGATCGCTCTGGCTCAGCTCAGCTCAAGAGAAGCAGCAGCGCGGAGCGCACATGATCTGCTCTTCCGGCTTAATAATACCAGTTACAGCGCCAAATAAACATGAATGAGCATCTGAAAGTGTGTTAAAAGATAGAGTACAACTTATCGAAATCCGTATCATGTCACATGGAATCGACTGCACACAGAGATGTATAAAGTACTAGAGATGCAGACTTGAGTAAAAGTACAAGTGCTCTATCAAAAAAGTGACTTGAGTAGAAGTTGAAGTGCTCTTTAAGCACCATACTTAAGTGGAAGTACTAAAGTATTCAAAAAATTTTTTACTTAAGTATTGCAAGTAGTTCTCTTTTTAATTTACTACTCAAGTACTGAAAGTAAAAGTAAAAGTATTGTATTATGTAGTAAAGCATCTCACCCTTCTCTTCCCTGCTTGTGCCTTTTTTCTCCACAGCTTATTGGGTATTTATCTGCATGTTACAGCGATATCTGAAAGCTTTGTTTATATCAGGGACTTCCTGGAATGTCACATGATGTGGCTCTTCTTCATGTGTTCCATATATGGACTAAATGTGCACAGGGCGCCCTCAGGCTTCCAGTATGGATTGAAAACACAGTATATCAGAGTATCCAGCGCTCATAATGATTACATCGGCCCATTTTGGGTATAAATTCAATAAATATTTTTCCTCTTTATAGAAATCTGACGTAAACCTATGAAAATCTATCAATATTTGTCAAAAACTGCACGAGCTAAAAGCCCGAGGGACATTGTTTGGTCAAGCGCTTTCATGACGACCTCACAGGAGGTTTTTTTTATTTATTTTTTTATGGGAGCGGCTGACGCTCATAATTCATATAAAAGATATCGACTCATTTTTTCATTACATAACACCTGACACAAATTAAGAAATAACTGTCACTATAAGTTTCTAAGAATAAAATAGTGGTCAAATACTGCAACTTAGACTTGTAGTCGAGACCGCCTAAACCGAGACCAAGACACTACCAAGACCAGATGGTATCGAGACCAAGACAAGACCAAGACCAAGACCAAGACAGACCAAGTCGAGACCAAGACCAAGTCGAGACTAAGACCGAGACCAAGTCGAGACCGGAGGGGAAAAAAACATTAGTGTTGAAGCTAAGCAATAACTTGTCAAATGTTGTTTTGCATTTGCCTGCCTATCTCTGCTGATTTCGAAGTCTCCAAATGAATCCATTCTGCAACTTTTAAATACATAATTATATTTTTAAAAACGAAATTATAGGCTTAAGTGCAGGATCCGAAAGTTGGTCGTTTTTGTCGCTATGGTTACACACACACACACACACACACACCGTTGGCGGTGCGCTCAAAGTCATCTGTCAGTTCAGTTGTGCAGTTACCTAAAATCAATGAAGGTAAAACCCATCATGTCACTGATATGTGTTTTACTAAGTATTAATATATCAAAACCTGTACATGATATGTGTTTTTTAAATCAAGTGATCAAAGTGCTCGTTGCCGCTGCGATCAGTGGCGCGGATACAGTGTTTTCTCGCGTGGCTCGCGCGCACCGCACTGTCTTCACTCGGACGCGCGCTTCAATACGTTGCGGATATCGTCGTGGATATTGTAGTATTGTATTGCTCAATCCCCTGACCACTATGTCGGTCTGAGACAGCGAGACCTAGACAAGACCGAGAGGTCCGAGACCAAGACAAGACCGAGACCAAAGACCGTCAAGGCCGTGACAAGACCGAGACCACGTAAAAGTGGTCTCGAGACCGGTCTCGAGACCAAGACCGGTCTCGAGACATACATCACTACTGCAACTTGAGTCTTATATTTTTTTAATGATGTATTGTCAAGATAATAACATTAAATCTAATAGTAACTATTAAAAACAAAGAACGATTCAGTGCGTCGGCGTCCTCGCACATTCTATATGAAATGTCTTTCACTCTGACAAATGCACTCTAATGGGTCTCCTTCCTCACCGCCACGATCACTCGAAGTTGAATGGTGTTTCTGGTTCTTCCATCTCGAAACAAACTAACAAATGTCAGGTGTTCCCAATGGAGGCAGGCAGCAGAGCGAGAGGCAGAACGGGAGCGCGCGCGCTCTTCCTGATCGCTTGATTCGCTCAATGATGAGCCAGCTTCATCAAACCTGGTGACAGAGCCATCTACCGCTCTGGCAGTGATTATGTGGGTTTGGAATGATTCGTAACATTTTTATAATTGTAACGAGTAACTATGCAGTACATAAAAAATGTATCGGAGTAAAAGTATTAAACTCATCGAAAAAATTTACTGAAGTAAAAGTGGAAGTAGGAGAAAAAAATAATACTCTAGTAGAGTACAGATACAGCCTTTTAATACTTAAGTACAGTAGTGAAGTAGTTCTACTTCGTTACTATACATCTCTGGCACAGACTGACTTATCTTCAAATGGAACCATTTATGGCATCTTTTTATTAATGAAGGCCAGTATCACTGATATTAATATAGCTAATGATGTCTCGATGAAAATTCTTTACCCCACATTTTTAGGGTTATAAAATAGTCCGCACTGCATAAATTATAAATTAAATTAGATTAATCCTTATTAAAGCTACAAGCGTTCTTTAGTCAAAGAGTAGTTAGTAGTTTTCTCTGTTGCCTTTGTTCTTTAGTTAACTTTACTGACAGACAGAATTAGTGGCTACTGTCACTTTAAGATCTACAGCTGGTGACAGGATCTCACGCGTCTTATTCTCTCACTACTCTTTACTTCCATTTAAGATTTCATTTAACTAATTTAAGGTTAATAATGATTGATTCTTGTGAGGATACTCGACAAAATGGACATTTTGGCATAAATGTGTGTGTTATTGTTCGTTCAAGCGCGAAAGATAATTTGATACTGGTTCGCGACTTTTTGTGCCTCGTGTGTGTGTGTGTGTGTGTGTGTGTGTGTGTGTGTGTGAGGAGGACATTTACTGAAGTGCGGAAAAACTAATAACTAATAAGAGCGTGATCATAACCCTAGCTAAAGAATGACAAAGAACGGATGCAGCGTTAATTGTGTTAAATATTTTAAAACATTAAAGCTGGACAAAAAAAAAAGAAATCGCATATGTTAACGTTGACAGCACTAACTTTACTTGTCATACATTGCTGACAGAAAATGAAGCGGTTTAAAGTGGACTCGTTTTCATGGTAGGCCTACACATAATGTTTTTTTTTAGTAAGCTACACAGAATGTTCTACATTAAATATTTAACTAACAGTCTGAAGTTACCTAGCAGCAGTGTATGTTAATGTTATTAGCTCAGTCAACATAAGGCTAACATCAAAAGGTGTAGACAGAAAATATGATTATGCTGACCTGAGCTAATTTACGAAATCAACCAACTCACATCTCCTTTCTTTCTTTTCATCCATGATGACATTAAAGTCACCTGCTGTTGTTTCTGGGGTTCTGCGCTCCATGCTTTCACCGACGACGCTAACGTGAGGTATGGATCTCAATCACACTGTTGCCAGGACCCTGCTCTGCTCTGCTTCTGATAGGCTTGTGACGTTAGTTAGAGCTGCGCTCCTCTCATATGATTGGTAGGTGAAATCAATTGACTCGAAAATATTAAACTGCATTCAAGTTCCCAGTTTCAAATGTAGCCGCGCGGTATGCGCGCTCATAATGGAAGCGGCGCACTCGTTTTTTTCCAAACGCGTCCGCGCCGAAAGTGCCTCCGCCTGATTAATAAATTGTGCCTGCGCCGGAGGCCGGACCTGCCCTCAAGCCGGAAATCCGGCCCCCGGCCGGAATACTTTAAGCCCTGTATCAGGATATGCAGAGATGTAATCACCTATTGCACTTTTAAACATCAAATATGTTTTGAATGGCTGGTATTTTCATAAGGGAAGAAAATACTCAAGGCTGAAAACTTGTCACATATGCCTAGTTAGGACGACACATAATCCTTTTTAAAAGGTGATAAATACCCTTACTAGGAGTCCAGTATTTATCAGTAGGCACGAACAGCTTTCTGGGCTTCATTTTCAGTGCTATCTGAGAGGGAGAAGGTGCCTTATTCTCTTTGTCCTCCTCACTGTCCTCATCTCCCTCTGAAAAATCAGCGGACTGGCACGGGATGAGATGCTTGTGGATGGCTGAGGACGGACCTGATTGGCAATTGACACAAAGAATACATAAGATGCTTATTTTTGTAAAGTAATAAATTACATAAAACCACAACTTAATTAAAAATCTATTCACCTGACTTAAATTCTGGTCTCTCAGCCTTACTTCCTTGCTTGCTTGCTGGTGTTTTCTGTAAATCGTACAAGAATGAAGTAGTGTTACTGAAATGTACTACTATCCAAAGTGTAATTGTGCTTGGAAATAAGCTCAAACCTGTACCTCTAGCTCAGTGCACATCATGGCAATGTTGCTCACAGATAGGCGAGAAGATTGGCTCATTGTCACAGAAATGACAGACCTCCTTCCAAAAGATGCTGGGCTGGTTCTGTTCATGTCACCCCTGTGCTCCTCCTGCAGGTCAGGAGAGATGATTGGGGAGGACAGGGTGCATTTCTCTCTGATGATGAGGGGCCGAGTTGAAGTCAGTAATGAGTGGACCGGACTCAGCTCAACCTGCAGGAGTGGGACAGAGGTGAACTCGCATTACATCAGTGGCTTTCAATCCTGATCCTAGAGACCCACCACTCTGCACATTTTCTATGTCTCCCTTATTGAACACACCTGATTCAGATCATCAGCTCATTAGGAGAGAGATCCATGAACTGAGCTGAGGCCTTGTCCACACGGACACGGGTATTTTTATAACCGGAGTTTTTCCAACAGCGCTTTAAAAAAAAATCCCATCCACACATGCTCGTCTCCGTCTACATGAAAACGCAAAAACACGCTATTAAGAGCGGTCAAGAGCATGCCACGCCAGCAGGCGGCGATATAACCCTTAACCGTAAAGCCACGTTGGCCAATCAGAAGCGCAAATCTGACGTCAAACACAGCGGATAACGGCGCACACTCTGACGTTACAAGGCAAAAACCCTGGTTTCACTGTCTACACGACAACACTGTAACCGGTGTTTCTGAAAATCCTCACCCTGGCAGGGGTTTTCAAAAATGTTCGGTTTCAGTGCGTTTTCGTGTGGACGAACGGCCGAACCGCGTAAAAAAAGTCACGGTTATAAAAATACCCGTGTCCATGTGGACAGGGCCTGAGTGTGTCATATAAGAGACATACAAAATGTGCAAAGCGATGGGTCCCCACCTTTCTTGTCTTAGGACAACTTTGATTAACTTTTTTATCTACTTTAAATGTTTTCTACTGTACAAACCTTTTTAGAGAGTCTTTAATAACAAAGACAATATATAGATGTGTGAGCAAGAAAGTAAAATGGTGTGAGCAGTTTTTTTTTGCTAAAATAAAGACTCAAAGCACACTGGAATTTGTACCTACAGTGGCCCTATAAAGTATCTGGATACTTAAGCCACACTTAAAATTAATGTCATTGTATTACACTATAAATGATCAAACTATGTGGCATTCATTTTAAAGAAATGATATAGTTATAGAAATTGTTAAGATAGGTGTGTCTAGAGCACACTGCTGACACAAGTAACTGAACTAACCCAAAATAGATTTATGTATGTAATTATGCAGGAAATATTAAGCACGAACATATATGGGATTATTAGCAGAAATTGATTCAAATTTACATGCAATATTACAATACACACAATCCCCTAGCAAAAAAGTTTTACCATGCATCATCTTGCTCGGAGTGACAGTATAAATGCTTTTAAATAAAGCTCCATACGCAGTCAGCGTCATTTCTCTGAATAAGTTGTAAAGAGTAAATATTATTTCCTGCTGTCTTTTTGTTGACCAACATCCACTTCAGACTCTTGGAAACCATTAAAAAAGCTACAGGTCAGCTCAAATTCTGCAGCTTTTTACTAGCATGACAGTTTGCATATGATATGTTATTTGTATATATTGTTGAGCCGATTATTTATTTAACCAACGTTTAAAGGGATAGTTCACTTTGAAATTAATTTTTGGTATGTTTTAGCTTACCTCAAGGGCATCCAAGATGTAGCTGTCTTTGTTTCCGCTGTAGTTTCAATTTTGATATTTTTAGGTCAAACCGTTCTTGTCTGTCATTCATATAATGCAGGTCTATGGTCACCAACTCAAAGAGCATGCACAGAGAAGTCCAAATTAAACATGATTTAATGACTCGTAAATGTAAGTACACATTGATGGCCTACGACACGAAACGAGCGGTTTGTGTGAGAAAACGAACAGTATTTATATCGTTTTTTCCTCTTATTAATGTTAGCCAGAACAACGGTCAGAGACACATGGAGTTGTGGTGTGAGGAGAACCAGTGGAGAACAGGACAGGTGTCTTGGTGAGAGAGACCGGTGTTAGCTTATAGATATATACACGATCGCTAACGATATACACTGCTCACAATATTGTACAGATTATTACCATCGTATATAGGGTTGGGAATCGTTACAAATTTTTCGGTTCTGGTTCCGGTTCCCATTCAATACAAATTATTAAAACAACTAATACAAATAGTAGTACGGGGAAAATACACAATCCTTTTTGTGTTTTATTTCTGATATTTGTCAAATGAGTTTAACAGACTGGCAATGTCAACAAATGCAACATATTATTTAGCAATAAATTTTTTCTGAAGGAAAATAAAAAATGTGGCATTCTCAAGGATAATTTGGGACCTCTCCTATATCTTATTGTATCTCCAGCAGTGGAATACCCTCTCAGAAGGGGTAGAATAAGCTTGAACACACATGTAAGATCCAGACAGGTGAAACATAATATATAAAATCGGTTTGAATGATTGATTCATAAAAACTTCACTTGTTTCCTTACTGGATTAAAGTGCTCTAGCAGTTAATAAACAGAAATGCATGCGTCTTGCGGAAGAACATTGTAGCCGGAGCTACTTCTCTATGTTTATGTCTATGACGCGGGTGAGTCACGCAGGCACTGGGCTACTCCGCAGCAGTGCCGAACCGACCAATGTAAAGTAGTCCGCAGAACGAAACTGCGCTTCTCATTATATTGTGCTTAACGGACCATTATCAGTTCGGACCAGCAACATCTGTGCAGCGCGAGATCAAGCGAAGAGATCCAGTGAAGAAAACATTTGAATTCGCCACTGAAGTAATAACATCGCTGCGAGATCTAGTGAGAAGCATTCAAATTTCTCCGTTATTAACCGTAGATCTCTATTAGATCAAACAGCGCTGACGTGGGAACCAGGAGAAACATTGTGCCGTGAATGAACATGGATTTAATGTTGCACTTCAAAACTCAAATATTATATAAATATATATTTAAATGTTATTTTTAATGTGATTACCAAAACATTATTTGTTCATCCTTCAAAGATTACCCCCATTTATAAACCTGAAAGTTTCAAGATGTAGAAAAACTACAAAAATAGTTTTTCTTTTAATAAATAGGAAATTTCTCTGGCATTTCTTTCTTTTTGCTGTATCCTGTCGAACCGAACCGCAAATTTTGTGAACTGTTACACCCCTAATGTAGGCCTATATTATATTCTCATTATTTTTTTATACACTTTTAAAACATTTTTATTTTTTGTTTACATGCCTGCCGGGTATTTTAAGTTGAGGGGCTATTTGTTTTTATATTAGACTTTTTCTATATTTACTGTTGCACTAAAGTCCAAAAGTGAAGATTTTATGTTATTTATTACTTGATTGTTCAAGCTACCTCACAGAAGTGCTCTGTTTGTTAACAGAGTTGTTGAATGTTAAAATAAGGTGAATTAAATAAAAAATAAGGAACATCCTGGATCTGTTTTTTCTCTCTTTATTTTTTTTTAATGTATTATATAAGTATCGGATCGGGACTCGGTATCGGTAGATACTCAAAATCAAATGACTCGGACTCGGACTCGAGGGCAAAAAAACCTGATCGGGACAACCCTAATGACGATGATAAATTAAAATACAAAAACTACTGAAAACACACTGACTCACGAGTCACGACCCCTCTTACTGAATACCAACCTACTCTGCACTGAGCTGAGGCTCCCGTTCGTGACGTAAAATGACGCGATGTTGAAAAAAAAAAGCGTTTTTTATGAGCAGTCAAAGAAACGCTCACTTTATCTACCTCATGTCGTTTTAAAACATTTTAAATCCTGCATTAACTTTTCATATGGTATTTTCATACAAGGTTATATATTAATTTAGATTTGTTTTTTACCTGCAATATGCTCTTTAAGAGCTTTAATACAGCCCATAAGTACTTGATCTATCTAAGAATGTGATTTGGAAACCTGCCCTATGGTTGCTTCCTGTTTACCTGAGCCGCAGGTCGATTCTTCTTACAGCCTCTGGAGCTTGTGGAAACAGGTGTAATGGAGAAAGGAGGTTTCACAACACCTTTTTTCCCTAGTGTTTTACAGCGAGAGGGGGCCTGGATTTCTTTGAGGGGACTGAGAGGCTCTAGTGGAGAAGAGTCAGCTTCGATTGGAGAGATAGACAGAGAACGGAGAGGTGTAGTATTGGATCTCAAGTTGGTTATTTTTTCGGCTGCTATAGAGAAAAATAAAAAGTAAATTACACAGCGTTTACAAAAGATTGTTGTCTTTGTGTACTAGGATGTCCATTTATTAAATTTAGTGTGATTCAGTATCAGTAATTAACACAATTATTTATGCTTCTGACTTGTAAAGTTCGCAAATAAACATTTTGATTAATAGCCATTCAACTATACAAACTCATTTAAAGCAGTTTAATTCTTACATCTCATCCTCTCAATGGAGGGAGGCGAGGCAAATGTGGAAGATAATCTTGCAGCCCAAGATTCTTTCTGTCTTCTGGCGGAGCCCTGAGCAGATGAGGTCTTCTTCACCGCGAGATGCTCTGGACTGGCCATCTTCTTGCCTGTATCATTCCTCTGATCTTGCTGAATCTTCACAAAGGCTTTTCCTGCCTTTTTCAGCACATTCGTCTCACTTTGTCGTCTGGCTACTTCTACAGATGTTTTCTCTCTCCTTTGTTCTCGTCCTGCGGCTTGAGCTGGGACAGTCTGCTGAAACGTTGCTGGTCGGACAACTGCCTTTTTCTATTTGGAGAAGAACAAGACCACTTTCATCAGGACTGTTATCATTAGTCAATCTAGACTCTGAAAGTCTTCAATGAAGGCAATAACACTAATGAAGATCCGCTTGAACTAACTTTGCTAATAGAGAAAAATCACATGCCTTAGGGGGTGGTGCTTTTTCGCTCTCTGACAGGCTGGACTGGTCATCTGAGTCAGACGCCTCTCTGTAGGTTTTGGTCAAGGCTGCAGCTCTTTGAGGTCGTCCTGTGGCTTTCTTATTTTTGATGCTTGGCTGCCGTTTATCCTCCTGTTCGGCCACTTTCTTCTGCCTCTTCTGTTATTCACCCAATCCAAAAGAAAAGGGAATGATTAGTATCAACGAGTTTAAAAACACACAATACTACTCATTCATAAAAGTGTAACAAACTCATGTACAGGAGAGAAATATAATTGAAAATAGGACTGCTCTTCTGAAATAAAAGGTCATTTTATATGCAGACCCACACTGATATTCAGACTAAGCTGCAAAAATGCTTAATTCAGAAATGGGTCCTGCTTATGACATTACATCTATGAGCACAAAATCACCCATATTTACCAATAAACACCACCTATGAAGTAATTTAACACGGGAATTCTTACTTATTTCACATGCAGAAAGGTTAACCAATCATAATTGAGGTCATCTTATCCGTAAAATAGCAAAGGTCACAGACTTTTTTTTTGGTGCAAATATTACCAAAGGGGTAAAAATAGCTACAATATGGCTCCTTTAAGACATAATTTGTGAAATTATTGGCCTTGTTCTTACCCGCTTTGGCTTGATTTGTTCTTTCACTGGCTTTGGCGAAGGCAAAGGTGTAAATGGCGATTTAACTGAAATAAAATGCAAGTGTAAGAGATTATCTGGAGCAGGAGGATGTAAAAGAGGGAGGGGAAGTAGTTATCAATAAATTGCATGTAGTGCTTAATTAAATAGATGCCACCCATCTTCAATGTAATGAAGATGGTAAACAAGAGTTAAAAACTACTGCTGGAAATGTAAAGCTGGGTACACATCGCACGATTTTCAAAGTCGTCGGATTGCTGTTCTTACACTACACGACTGTCTGAGGTACCATTTAGTTGCTGCTGTGTGCACATTACAGGAAGGATCAGCGTCAGGGGGTCACACATTACACAACATTTCAATAGGAAGAACCGCAGACAATTCTGTCTAGTCTACAAACTACGTTTCACAAGCAAACACATGCAAGAATAGACCTGGAAATAATGTAAAATCACACGCGAGACAGTTCTTCTTGTTAAAATGATGTACGCAAGAAGCTTGTGATTTGCAGCGGAAAAATATATATATATGAATGAGAGAAACCATGCTTGTTTATGTTCTGTTGCAGGTCCCCCTGAACCTTCCCTTGCCCTGTATCATTCTCTCTCATTAGCTAAGTAGTTTCATGTCAAGACATATTTCACATTGCATGACTCTCAGTCACAGACAGGTCTAGGTTTTGAGCATGCTTTATGGGCATCAACGCTTCTATCAGATCATATCTTTGATCATACACACTACGAGAAAGTCACTTACACCGATTTGCCACAGATTTCGGGTTTTTGTCTGTGATATCCACAAAACTGTCACCAAGTGAAAATTGGGGCTACATCTTGCAGTGTGTACCCAGCATAAGACATCTCTTCTCTAAAATATAGAGATGGGTGTAACATACATGCAGAGTCAGCTGATGGAAAGGTGGGTTTAACTGGCTGCCGGCTGTAGTCTGCCACTTTGGGTTTGGGTTTCCTGTTGGCAGAGTTTAACCAGCTAATCTCTGTCATATTGTCTGTGTCCGTATCACTGAACAGGTTTTTATTCACATTCGTCGTAGCAACCTAGGGGTGTAATAAACATAAAAGTATTAAATGTGGACTTTTGATTGGGATATATTAAATCAAGTGGCCATCCCCAAATAATTTAAGAAATGGGAAACCTTTGGGAGCTGAGGTTTCCTAGCAGACTTGGAGAAAGCTGGAGAATTACTTAGTGCACTAAAAGAAAAAAGAACAAAAACTTTGTAAATATGCAATAAAATACATAATATAATAATAAGCAGTCACATGTCCACAAATATGCAGGGTTTCTTTGGAGAGATTTTAACTGTCCACATAACTACTGCACTCTGCAGTTAGGTTCACCTGTTAAACACTAGAGGGGGCTATTTTTTAATAAATTAACAGAATTACCTGCTTTCCACTCGGGATGAATCAGAGGATTTCTTTCTCTGAAGAGGACAAAATTAAGAACTAATGACAATTATTATCATACTTTTAAATACTATACATTTTATGATATTTATTTTGTTTAGCTATGGGTGTCCTCACCACACTGATTTTTGGCGTGTTCTCTGTAAATGCATAAATATCCCTGAAGAGACCAAACAATACATTAATTTATTTATAACAGCCATTTTCGAACGAACTGTCCCTAATTAAAAGGAGGGAAGTCATTAAAATGCAATACTCAAGCTTCTGGGTTGGCCTCTTGGATTTGAGCAAACTTGAACTCTTGGCAGCAGTTTTCTCCTGTAACACGATGAGCGAAAATAAAAAGGTACATTGATTAGATAGCATCATATTTATACAACTGAATCTATCAACTTGCATTACAAGTATGTCTTTCTAAATGACTTACAGTGGAGGATGGGTGGCTACTCTTATTGAACAGATATCTGAAAGTGAAGGTAACACTGTGATAGCACGTGAGAACAGAGGAAAAGGTGAGGCGTGATTGAATGTCTGTGTCACCTGTTTGTAGAAGCAATGTTAAACTGGGCGCCAGGGTCAGGGGACGCTGCTTTGGCACTTCTCTTATAATGACTGGAAATCATCTTCACCATACCGTCTGTTGCACGAGCCACCTTCAGAACATCAACAACAAAGGCTAAGTTTAATATAATAAACCTTCCTGTTTTCTCTGTTGCATTAGGCTATGAATTAAATTGATAAGAACTATTTCATGTCTTTTCATTTACAGTAGCATGAACTACGAGTAGTCGAGTAACTCGAGTATTGTTTTAATAAGAAGAGTGTGCCTAGAACAAATCAACTCCAAGTAATAGTAATGCGTGCCTTAGCATACACTAATAATAATACGTCTTTATAACATTTGAACTAAAAGAGTCTCACATTCTCAAGGTCTGATGCATCGCCCTGAACTTTGCTACTCTTCCCTCTCTGTTGTGGAGGTCTAGCAGGCATGGACCTCACTGATTTCTCCACTTTCTCTTTCTCTTGACCTGCAGTTCTGGGCTCCAGTGAGGAGCCTCTCTGGGTTGCATGGCTATCTGTACCCTGCTGCTTCTTCAGCACTTCCTCCAATCTCTGAGTGAGCTGGGTTTGCAGCTGATTATGGGTCAGAGTTTTCGGTGCACACTGTGCCGGCGACAGGCGCTGAGGTGGGGGATGAGAACTACCATCTGGAGATGATTACACAGAATGCAAGGTTACACAAAGACACCTGATTCATATAGTGACAACATATCAGGAAAAGTGTTTCCAAGTGTTTTCTTTTTAACTGATTTAGGACCAAAAGAACTGGTTTATAAAACAAAACATTAGACAACATAAGCGATGGAGGAGTAAAAATGACTGTAAATTATTATATTTTATTATGAGAAGGAGACCGCCTAGTGATAAGAGACATGAAACTAGCAGTTATGTTGGAAAGTGGTTCAAACTGTCATTTATAGTATAGAGGTCATAATACTAAAAAAAACCTTGACTGTAGGATGCCAAGTTGCCTAATTGAGTATTCAAGAGTGCCATGTAATGTAGTTATACTGTATATTTGCTGATACAACATACTTTACAAAATAATCACCTTAACACTCTCTTCTATCTGTTCACTCACCTGATACAGAGCAGTTTTTAGATATATCTTTTTGCAGCAGTGATCCAGATACAGAGATTCTCATTTTGCTGGAGTTCAAGCCCCAGAGACCCGGTGAACTGAATTGTTATAAGAAACAGATTGACATACATTAGATAGAGTCCTCTCTACAGTGAACGTAATGTTATTCTACTACCCAGTTAAACAGTTGAGCAACTGTAACCGAAATGCCAATAGAAATACACTCACAATGAGCTACCCTTTCTCACAGGTTGGGAGTCTGGGACTATGCTGTTATCTTTCCCAAAAAGAAATAAAATAAGGTTAAAAACATTCAAATATGTTAATAATAGCACTGTAATAGTATGCTTAGTTCATTAAATACCAAAAGTGTTCTCTTCATATTCTTTGTCAGCATGCACCATCTCTACTACTTTCTCTACAGGAATATTCTGCAGAAAACATGTTTTTATACAGTTAGAGGAGAAAAAGGAGTAAAAAAACAGAAAGCACAAAATGAACAATTAATAAAATAACGTATGAAGTACTATTACTTAAAACCAAACAAAATTCAGAGCACCTTGCGGTACTTTTTTCCTTTAGCCTTAACGCTCTGGATTTTCTGTTGGTCTTCATTCTGGGCAGCAGGGGTTGACTAATAAGACACACACAAGATTCACTGATATTACAAAAACATGTACAGTATATGGCTTTGTTAGTTTAACTGTGTTTCATAAACTCTATTCTCCATTTGTTAGTCTGCATTAGTATAAACTGCCCTGCTGAAAAATCCAGCATAAACCAGCATGCACTTCAGGCTGGTTTGTGCTAGTTAGAGCTGGTATAGTGCTGGTCTAGCTGGTGGATCTCAAGCCCAACTGAGCTGGTGTAGCTAGTCCACCAGCACTCCTGCTTCCCACTCTGGGGGCCAGCAAGCTATCAACCCATGCTGGTCCTAGCATGCAAAACATACCTTATGCTGGTGACCATCAATGCTGGATTTATCAGCAGGGTTGGGGAACATTTGAAGTATCTGAAACGGTCTATAAAGGTTATACCTGTGCTTGAATTACATGGGCCTTCTTTTGGTTGTTCTCACAGTGAAAAAAAAGAGAAGACAAATTGCAAGATGTTTTGGACATCATGAGGTCTCTAAGCTCAATTTCCTTTTTCCTCTCTGAAGAGCTCATCATCTGAAGAGCTGGTTTCACCATTGGCTTCGTCACTAGAAAAAAGGGACCAAGCCAGTTGCAAAACTTCATATCGCTTTTTTTAAACATTACATAAAAATCTACAGGTGGCTGTGTTACAGTAATTTCATCACAAGTAAGAGATGATCTTTATTGTGTGTGGTAATCGACAACATTCCAGAGCTTTACTTGTTTTCAACCAGGGCCTAAAATTAATACTACAAACAGCGCACAAATCCTGAATTGAGCTGTTTTGCGCTTGAACAAATTCACACAAAATAGTGTAAAAAAAAAAAAAAAAAACAGTCTCGGCAAAATATCCAAGTAAACACAGTCTGTTATGGCTTAAGTGAGCATAAACAGTCGAGAAAGACAATGCATCATGACAATGTAAAAGTATTAGGTACAGTATCAGAAATTGGATCCGTGCATTTGGTATCAAAGTGACAGCAGCCTAATATTCCTGCTGCTGTCTGCGTTTTTAATGTTAATCAAAAAACAAAGGACATAGACAAACCCCTTAATGCTCTTGACTGAATAACTTTTGTAACTTTATTAAGGATTAATCTATATTTAATTTATCCAGTAAATACTATGCAGTGTTATTTTACATTTGATTACTTTATTCGTGGGCTATACCTGAAAACTGCTGTTAGACTTACCTGAAAAACCTGAAAAGCACTGTTCATTTAATTTGTATTTTTGTTCTACTGTATTTATGTGTGCTATTGCTTGAAATTTGATTCTTTTTTAATAATTTTATTACTGACTGTTTACTTGTCTTTAGTAATGTTTTATATTAGTAAGGCTAGTAGTTTTAGCTGTGGTATCGGAATTGGAATAGGTCTCTAAAATTTTGGTGTTATTACTGTATTGGCAAAAACAGTTTCATGGCTGGTAAAAAAATATTTTTAGAATTATAATTATAAGTCACAGGCCATTGGCAGGTGTGGCAAAAAGTTAGTTTCGGGCCCTGTTTTCAACCGAAAGCATTCCTTTAAACATGGTAAAATGTGTAAAACAGAGCTTAAAGTACTTACACTCTTACTGTGGAAATCCAAGAAGCCGGGAATAGATTTTCTTACAGATAAAGTCTGTAAACTGCTTAGTGACCTACCTAAAGGCAGCACACAACTGGAGGAACAGCTTCCCTCTGGACGCCCCATGGATACCTTCATCTGTAGAGGCGTTACCATCTGAGAAAAAGAGATTTGTGCTCTTAGCTCTGGAGAACTAGAGACCTCTGACCACTATGATTCCATTAACGTGCACACAGAGCCGTAACGACAGCAGCATTAACAGAGGTGAGTCAAAGCAGCCATATTTCAGTTGTTAAAAGCTTCAAGGGACAAAATACAAACTTGTAGCTTCAACGGGGTAAATGAGGACAAAAGTTCACCAAAGTTAATTATACAGGTCATTTAAATTAATAACTCGCTTGGAATTAGGGATGTGAGGGTGAGGATATTTTCCCACCGGTTAATCGACGTGTGACAACCTTCCAGCCTTACAACGTATCACCGGCAGGGGGGTTTAAATCGCCAATTTAAAGGCAAACGTAAAAATGCGTACGGCCGCACGTGTCCACGGGCATGGAGCGAGCAGAAATTTTCCATAGGAATGAACTGAAAACGTTCGCTCTGCTCTGCTCGCTCCACGCCCGTGGACACGTGCGGCCGTACGCATTTTAGTTTCACTTTCAAATTAGCGACAATTTGGGGTGGATTGCTTGAATGGTGAGTTCATTACCCTATTATTCATAATGAAAAACACAACAGCAAAACAATGCAATGACAAATTCGCTTAAATAGGCACTTTTACATTTCGCTTTGATACCAAATATTCCGCCGTCACCTTGTCAGTCAGCTCCTCACTCTCGTGATGAATGAAACCTGACTCCTGCTGCTGATCTGTGCTGCGATTCTCGTTCAGCTCACGATTTATTAAGCAGACACGGTCAGTTTAATAGTGTCTGTTCTCTAACTGAACTAAATGATTTTATATAAAAATAAAATCAAAAATAAAATCGACGGTAGGTGGCGGTTCCACGGTGGGCAAGGGATGTAACCGGTGTTGCTTCTGAACACCGGCAACACTGACTATCGTAGCAAGCCTACTTGGAATACACGGTCAAATAAACAAGCATGACTATAAATAACCCCTGATGAAGCTAATTAAGCCACTTCTCCACCGTCAAGCTGAATGGTTCTAAGAACGGTAAGGAACGGTTTCAGTTATTTTTCCACTTGAGCCTGGTACGGCACGGCAAGATTACAAACCATTCTTGGGCCGGAAATCTCAGCATACATAGTGAATGCATGTAGTGACGTTGCAACTCAGGTTTGGCCACTTGTCTGTAGCCTGGCTACCAGTTTCTCTGTAGCTGGCTAAGCGCGCTATTTGAGAGAAAATTTAACAATAAAATGATAAGAAATATCTGAATATTAGAAATATATTAGACGAGCGCGCGTGCACATTTAGAGTGTACGCTTTTACTGCATGATTTAGTCTATTAAAATGCATTTCGAATGTCCCCAGATTCAAGATAAGGGGCAAAAATGCCCCTATATGTCTTATATATTGATATCATTTAATATAGTTAACCAACATTTACATGTTTGTTCTGTTGTATTTGTTTGTGCTATTGCTCGTAATTTGATTTTATTTTCGAATTTTTATATTTTATTACTTACTGTTTAAACTAAATAACGAAAACAAAACTAGGCTTTTTTTATAGGCCCATTTTCTTTTCTTTTACTTTATTATTTTTTTTTATATAGGGCCGTTTTAACCACTGCCCCGACCGGGCCAGTAGAAAAAATCCTTAACGTTGAGCCCTGTGTTGTACAGTAGGATTTAGCTTAATCTCAATGTAATAATAACACTAATTCTAATACTAACTCTAATAATCATAATAATTGTTTAAACCTAATTTTTTTAAGGAATAATCACAATTTTTCTTGCATGTTTTAATTTTAACAGTAAAGCTCTGTGGTGCAGCACTTTGCTTGACAAAAAAAGTTTAATTTTATATGATTAAAAGATCAATGAAATGAATGTTTTATGGCTTATTTGATTGCCAGAAAAAATTAAATGCACAACACAGAATTTCTGAAAAAACTTTTTTTATAGAATTGATTCTTAAATAATTGACTATTAAAGTTTAATAGGGGTTATGCGCAACATTCTTCCGGGTTCTACCAAACGGGTATAACTACTTCCGTCGTCAGCTACTGAGGTAAACACAGCACAGTACAGGGATGCAAACACATGTTTGGTCAAAAAAGAGAGAGGTAATCGAAGCCCTCGCCCCGCGGCAAATATCCAGATACTTACATTGCCACCAACCCCTGCCATCCCCGGCCCACCCCTATAGGCACATATAGTAAAATGAAATTCAAATAAAGTTTTGACAAAAAAGGTTGTATAAAAAGATAAACCTCACATATTTCAGCCTTTAAATCATTTTTCACAAAAAAAAGGTTTTATAAAAAGATAAACCTCACATATTTCAGCCTTTAAATCATTTTTATAAAAAGAATGAGTAAAAAAAAAAAATCATATATTTTTGTCATTATTTTGAGAATGCAAGACACACACAGACACATGCCTATCTTCATAATTCTAGGTTTGACCTCTAAAGGTTTTTTAATTTGACACAAATACAAAATTTAACTTGCACTGCAATGCAACAGTGAAAGTCCAAAGTTTCAATCCTGCTCAACACTATTGTTTTATTCATGATTGATATTGTATTCCATATAATCTGTGCTGGTCAATTAGTCTAAAATTAAGAAACCCCTAGATAAGTAAAAAAAAAAACTAAAAAAAAAACGGTGTGTAGCCTACATGTTATAATTTTAAATTGGCTACTTAATTTATTATTCCAATATACAAATATGATATTAAATCCCACAGGGAAAAGGGCTTATATTTGTGACGTGCTATTTTGACATTTTGACATTAGGCTACAAACAGGACACGCATTAGCTGAATAAACTTTAGCCAATCCAAACATATTTATAGAAAACAGTTAACAATGAATAGACAGGAGTCCTGTCACATGACCAATAATATAAGTTTTCGAATAAGACGAATCCGACATAATATTATAATGAGGGCTGTTAACAGTAAAGCGTCCATCATTTAACGAATTTTAAAAACACGAATGGATACAAAAAGCTTTGACATTTTGACATAAAAAAACACAAGCAAGAACTTTGCTTGTCAATTTTTATTTTATAAATATCTTCTCTCTCTGTGTGCACGAGTCTGTGTTTGTGAGAGAGCTCGCGCAGCACTGATACATGATAGGCTATCATACAACGGTCATTTTTAATCCACAAATTCACCAACTAACTTGCTAGTTTTCATACAAAATAAATATGTAACATAATTCGGTACTTTAGTTAACATAATACATAACGTAACACATGCGATACGTTTCTCAACACTGATAATGAAAAAATAAACGCCTGTTTCTCCGGATTCGCGCTTAACGTTATCAGTCATCCACAAATCACAGCACTTTCATAATCACTAAGACATAGCGATTTCAATTTTATTTAGATTTATTGTTCAACATTACTTGAGTATTTTATAATTTGCATGGCTGAATGTCTTCCTCTTATCTGAGTTACCATGAATGAATTACGGAGTATTTTTTTAAATAATCCATGCGATCACTCCCGTCCCGTTTGATGACCAATCCATTTTAAAATGAACTCAAATACAATATTTCAACTTTCCACATCCACCCCAGCCCGTTTACCTTCAGGAGTCAGAAGTACCGTGACTGTAGGCCGACTGTCCTCGCTTAAATCAGTCAGACGGCGGGCGCGTGCGAGTGGAACGAGGACCGAGCGGGATTCTTTATTGGTGTCGATTTTCAGTCTCTTTTTAATTATAGGACTTACGCATCTGTCAATCATCTCCGCTTGCAATGTGGGGAATGAACCCAGCGCTATGATTGGTCGAACTCTTCTTCTTTTGCTGTTGCTTGATTTGAGGACTGCGCGTGCAAAGACGCGTCACCAGGTTTTTGCGTAGTTTAGAGTGACAAATCGTACCAGCGTACTTTGAGGTCAAAATGCGTGCCCGCTACGCAAAATGCGTACATGTTGGCAGGTATGCTGTAGTGTTTGGGTGCACCCCCATCCTTCATGTTGACTGAGCTTTCAATGTTGTTACGGAAAGGGTGAAGCTGATTGGTTGGTTCTTGTCACATGACCTGCGGTGCGCTTGCGGCATTCTGAAAAGTTTGAAAAGTTTTTTCATCTCGCTGCGCCTGGAAAAATCGCTTCAATTATGAGCGCGCTTGCCGCGCGCCAACATTTGAAATAACGAACTTGAGAGCGCAAAAGACACGATATGTGAATGGCCCTATGGTGTTTATTTAGACTCAAAACTCGCGAACAGAATACGAGGGCAAAAAACATTATACGCACGCAGAATGCCATCCACGCGCGGGCGCGTTTCTGCACCGTGAGCGCGCACAATGCCATCCTCGTGCGGCCCCTTGACGAGCTACCTCAGGCCACGAGCTAGTGGAAGAAACACTAGTGGTTCACGCTTGCGTGCATACTGCTGTTTTGGCGCACAGTGTTCTGATTTGCTTATTTCCTATTTACTTGTTTGGTGGAGGCAATCCAGAATTACTGTCGGTGAAATTATAATCAGACCCCCCCCCCCTCCCCCCTTAAAAAAATCTCTTCGGATCTGCACGATTCACATAAGACACCCAAACTGACGTGAAAAAAGCGGGAGGCGCCGACCAGCGCGCTGTTTGCATCCCTGACAGTAATCGCGACATTTATAGCCGGTGTTTACAGGAGCTACCCATTCTATCCATTTCAGATGTATACCGTATTGCCAAACGAACGTCCAGAGCCCCGAGTACTCTGTTAGATAAAGGATTCAAGTTTTATGCCTCCTCCTCATTTAACGTTACTCATGATTATGAAGGTATGTAAGATAGTGGTGTGTCTCCTTACCCCATAGTTAATTTCCCCCGACACAGAACAGATCGGTACACAACAAAAGCTGCTGTTCGGATGTTCTCGTTTCTGATACTTCAGCATTCGTGACATTTTAATTAAAACAAAAATAAGAATTGTATTATAAAAAACCGAAAATTAAAGGATTAGTTCACCTCAAAATGAAAATTTCCTGATAATTTACTCACCCCAATGCCATCCAAGATGTTCATGTCTTTCTTTCTTCAGTGGAAAAGAAATTAAGGTTTTTGAGGAAAACATTTCAGGATTTTTCTCCACACAATGGACTTCATGCACAACCAACATGCTGAAGTCCAAATCAATGCAGTTTCAAAAGGCTTTGAAGAGCTTCAAAGGTTCTGCACGATCCCAGTTGAGGAATAGGGTATTATCTAGCGAAACGATCGTTCATTTTCAACAAAAAAAACAACAACATTTATATACTTTTTAACCACAATTGTTCGTCTTGTGCCGTCTGCGACGCGCCTGGCATTACGACATCGCGGTGGAAACGTCACGGGTCACGTCATCTATCTAAGTTATCTGTCTGTGTACTCCGGTTCAAAAAGGCAGGGAAGGGCGAAAAATTCCATCTCATTTTCTCCTCCAACTTCAAAATCGTACGACATCTTTGTTTTAATTTATTATGTAAAAAATATATATATATATATATATATTTCGTGACATTTCCAACGTGATGACGTAATGCCTGGCGCGTCGCAGACCAGCACAAGACGAACAATTGTGGTTACAAAAAGTATAAATGTTTATTTTTTTTAGAATATGAACGATCGTTTCGCCAAATAAGACCCTATTCCTCAGCTGGGAACGTGCACAGCCCTTTGAAGCACTTCAAACCCCTTTTAAACTGCATTGATTTGGACTTCCACGTGCTGCTTGAAGTCCATTGTGTGGAGAAAAATCCTGAAATGTTTTCCTCAAAAATCTTAAATTTCTTTTCCACTGAAGAAAGAAAGACATGAACATCTTGGATGGCATTGGGGTGAGTTAATTATCAAGAAATTTTCTTTTTGAGGTGAACTAATGCCTTAAATTACCTCAGAGATCAACTAACCACTACAAACCGGAAATGCTTAGACCTGTTTTCCGGTTCGAACGTTGGGCGCTCCGCATAACCCCTATTAAGCCATTAAAATGGAATCCAGAAAACTTCTAATTCAATTCAAAGCTCTCACAAAACATCATTATGCTCTATAAAAGCTCTACAGGCATCCTAAAATGGACACTTCAAATGTTTATTTTGTGAGCATCTTGTCTTACCTGTTGGGGGACATTGTTTGTATCTGGTGTTAGATGTGTGAGAGACTGGCAGGGAATGCCATGCCTCACTGATGATGTTGCTCTTCCCTCTACACGCAGAGAGGGGGACACTTGACTTTCAGGAACAAAAACCTGTTAGTTTAACACAGACCGTCAGAGTTAAATTCTTGTTAAAAAAAGATAAAAGCCCACAACTCATAACAGAAAGCCATCTTTTTTGTCACAATTAACCTTAGGAAAAAGATGTTTAAAAGCATCTTTTAATATTGACTCACCTGTGAACTTTCCTGTGAACTTAGATTGATGTGAACAGGTGTTTTCGCAATAGAGGTCTTTCTAACAGATGTCTGACATAAAGCAAAAGGGGAAACGTGAATGTTGATATGCTGTGTGACAGTTGCATTAAAGAAGTCATTACACATTTAATACAAGCGTTTCATTCCCCTTAGCAGATTTAATTAGATGTTAAGCTCAAAGGCTTATCAAGTAAATGATGCGATCCTAATAACCACATAAAAACACGAATTGAATCAATGCATTAATCAATCAAACAACATGTCAATCCATTAATTTAGTTTTGGACTAATCATTCTGCAGTAAAGCTTTAAAAAACAACACTGTGTATAAGATAAGATCAATGAATATCTCATTGATATTGTTAGATTGGGGTTTGCACTTTGCACTGAATTCAATAAAATAAATATTCTGATTAGATCTAATTCTTGACATTCATATATCTTAAAAGTTGTACTTTCATGTACAGGCAGGTCCATCAGTGATCTTTTAAAGTAACCTCACCCTGTTTTTAGCCTGACCATAAACATTCTCAGTGGCTCGCAGGATGTCTAGAGAAGAGCTGAATTTGATGGAGACTCTGGAGCCCTCTAAGCTGTCGATGTTGACAGGCTCAGTCAGAACCAGATGGAGAGTCTTTCTGCCGCTCTCCTCTGTGAAGTCAAATATAGACAGATGTGTCGTTCATATACAGCTTAGAACTAATACTTAGAAAGATTGATATGGATCCAGAACTTTTGTTTTTGTGGGTCTTGAGATCAGAAGATCTTTTTAAAGAGAAAATGTTGATTGTACTACCTTCTACTGTGTAACTGCGGACCTCATCGTCAGCAATACACAGAGTGTTCCACTGGCCATCCTGACAGGAGAGAGATACATCTAATGTTCATACTTTTATTCATTTCTTTCAAAAAAACAACAACTGTCAAATGTGATTAAATGCAAGCACACAGAGGCGCATTTCAGACAGTGCACGGACACTGAATTGATTCCTTTTTCGCATCTCTTTGCACTTGAACTGACACATACACACAAAATACCCGTCTCGGCAAGTATTCTCGTAAACACAGTCGGTTATGTCTTAAGTGATAGGTCTTAAAGTTACAGCAGCCTATAAATAACTGCTGCTGTCTGTGTCACCTAATGCTAATCAAACAAAACACAGCTTTAACAAAGATTAATCCATATTTAATTTATGCAGTGAACACTGTAGTGTTATTGTACATTCAGCCTAATTATAACATTTCTGTACCTGAACTGAAGGCTACTGATAGACCTTAATTTATTTGTAACTTTATTATATTGTTTTTATCTATACATGTAATTAATGTATTTGTTCTTATTTTAAAATTTAAACCCTGAGATGAAAAGAGACATCAACTCCTGCATTGCGTGTTCATGCATTTGGGGGCGAAGCAATATAGGGAGCGGTGTGTTTGTTTGGGTTGATTTCAAATTAGGGCTGCACGATTTGGGCCAAAATGATAATCACGATTATTTTGATCAATAATGAGATCACGATTATTTATTGATTTTAACCAAAACAAATTTTATTGTCACATAGGCTAATTATAACTGCTTTCACATCCATATTGTGCTACATTCCTGCTAATGTACAAATATGTGCATCAAAATAAAATAGGTCCTCTTATTCACCAAAATTCAGTGCATCTCCTTAAAGAATAAATACAAAGAAATAAAACAAAGAAAATGTAGCAAAACTTCAACAGGGCACTATTTTACATTGTGTAAATATATTTTAGGAAGCAAAATATAAACTTGCATTGTACCTGCATAATGGATGTGAATAAAACGCGCAAAATATACAATCAATAAAAAACAAATATTCCATAACAGAATGTAACCAAATGAGAACATGTCAAGGCAGAACTATGCACTGTGGAAGTTCGATTAATGAATAAAATTCAGAGTGATTGTTATTTGACGCTTAAGAAATGTAAAATGTTGTGGTACAGTGTCAGTGATTAGTTGTGAAGTCTTACTGCATAAATTTAATCTATTTAATCCTCCATATGAAAGTTTATGTACTCGAATTATTTCTATTTATTAAACAATAGTTCAAAACAAGACGTTTGTAGTACTGATTATTGGAGTCCATTAATCGAACTTTCATGCCTCTTATAGTAATTATATATTATATATGTATGTACCAATTTACTAATGCAATTTACTAATGCTCACACTCGGTCTCTCACGCGCACTGTCACTCGGTCTCTCTCGCGCGCAGACACACTCAGTATCTCTCGCGCACTTTCGAGCGCGCTCTTGGACAGGTCTCTCTCGTGCACTGTCGCTCGTGCGCAGACACACTCGGTCTCTCTCGCGCACTGGGGCTCATAGAGGCACGTGATCAGACAGTGGTTTACGGAGCTCTAGATTGGCTTTGCAAAAAAAAACCCTTTGATACGGAGCGTTCTGTGAACGGAATGACGCATTTTAAATATCGCTTGATCACGCGAATTTGATCGTGGGAAGCCAAAATCGTGATCGTGATTAAAATTCGATTAATCGTGCAGCCCTATTTCAAATATCAACAGAATTTCTCAGAAATCACTTACTACACACTATAATTATTTTCCAAGGTCAAACGTAAGATTGAGAGACTAGAGTCATTACCTGGGCATCCTTATCAGTCACACAGAAGTAAAAAGAGATGCATTGACTTCCAAGGTTAAAGTCAATCCAGAATGCTTCAAGATTTCCATCCTCTGGCATGAGCAGCTGTAAACATTATAATACAGATATTTACATGTATGTATTTCCATACTCATTCCTATTGGCTTTGTCCCTTATTAAATATAAAAACTAACCTCATGTTTGTCTAAAAATGCCTGCAGGCAAGGGTAGGAGTACACACTGTGAGAAGATAAACCAAGACATGTTACACAATCTGTAAAAAAGAGAAAGCTGTCAAAAGACATTAAGTAAGTACCTTCTCCCATCTCCTTGCATGCCATTCACCATATTTAGAAACTTCCTGCAGTCCTGTCACAAAGACACATACAAAAAATATGCTACAAAATTATATGCAACCCAAAAAAAATTCTGTTAATGTCAGGCCATATTTACAGTCTCAAACTCAGAATCCTTCAACTTCTTGAATGCAGAGGAGACAAAAGTCATAGTAAACCAGGAGTCAGCTAATTCATTCCTCTGAGCTGGTGAAGTCATTCTGCAGAGGGCCTCCATTAAAGACACCTGCAGGTCATAATCTAAACAGCAGCAGAAATCAGTCATAGTATGAGTGCTTTTGAATTATGATTATATAATAGCACTTTCTAAACTAATCTGCCCAAGTGTTCACTACAATGGATTTTTGCACTAACCTCCACCTCTAAGGATTCGACTGGCCACGTTATTCCTGATTAAAAACAGAACAGACTAAAGATTTAAAATACAAGCATACTTGTACCCCTACAGGTACTTTCCTGAATAAATGTGTCCACAGGAGCAAAATGGGAACTTTTATATGTATGGTTAAGTACTCAAGAATCCTTCAAGAAACAGGAGAGTGATAATGCATCATCATCCAACATACATCATACACGAGCCCTCTTGAGATGACAAGATCTTCTTCTTCTTTTTCAGCTCCATGGGAATCTTTGCCAGAATAGCATTGAGTTTCCTTGCTGCCTGTGATGAAGAGTAAATAATAATCCTTCATACATTCCCTCCTGTAATTCAGTCTTCTATTTCTGGCAAAGTCTGGCTAAACACAGCTCAAGTGACATGTCATGACGGTTGAATGCGAGTTTTTGTCATTTGGTCGAAACGATTACTTCCATGCATATTAGTGGTGACTGAAGCTAAGCTGTATTGAATCTCTTACCTCTTTCTGGATCATGATGTTTATTTGGCCATCGGAGGCCAGTTTGCCAATGTGACTAAGCAGAGCTTCTGTAACTTCACATGTACCTGAGGAAATACACATATTTAAATTAATGCACTGTTCAACCTACTCTTTTTGTCTTTTTTCCCCTCCAAAATACTGAAAATCTGGAACAAAACACTTACCTTCTTTACAACTTTCATGAACAACCTACAGAGGTGAAATAAAAAAATCACAGATCAGACTAATGTATTACAGTGTCTGTGGGTGTGTGTGTGTACAAATTGTGCCACACACATCCTGATAAGTGAAGTCAAAACATTCTGATTTCTCCCTGTTGATTGGCTGCAATATAGATCATAAACCCCGCCCTCTCCATGTAGTTGAATGGGAATGCGAGTGAAAAACTTCATTAAATATGTTTCTTTTGCTCTCTTTTGTTCTTGTACTCTTTTTCTAGCAATTACATCTGCTAAGTCATATTGCAGCTAAAAAATTTTACATTTGTGATTGCTTGTTGCAATAGGTGTGTTTACATGCACAGATTTTTGAATCAATCCGACCTGATTTTAAATTCAAAGTCCTGTTTATACAGTACAAACCCTATACGTTGCAATCCGATTCACATATTTGTTTATATATGCATTACAGGAAATGCATTCTGAACAAAATTTCAGCACATGCATAGCGCCAAGTCGCGGCGTTTATAACTGGAAAAAGTCACGATGACAATATCGTCCATGATTATAATTGTCATTTCGCCTTAATGACATCTCTAAAAAGAAAGCTGACATATGTCAGAAGTACCAAATATTTAGTAAACATTCAGTCCACTCCACTGACCAGTTCGTAAGATATAGCCTATGATAAACAATCATTTAAATGCATTATGGCACTGCACATGTGTGCAAGGTATTTTCGAATCTGATTAAGCTCAATCGGAACGACTTAGGTTTTGCATGAAGGCTTTTCTGTCCAATTGAGCCATCAATCTGAACGTAACTATTTAAATGCATTTCCTTTTATCCCAAAAATGAGCAGTTACGAACCATCAGTGCATCAAAGAAGTCCTCAGCCAGCTTTATCAATGTCTCATTTCTTGATGACCCTGCCTCCACCCACAGCTTTCTGGCCTTCTCGAACCACTGGACCATGTAAACATATACATTTTAAGCCATGAATATATCATTCTCTTTCACCAAAACAGACATACAGAGAGAACCGAAACATTGATTATACACTTATCTTTTTAACAAATCCCTGGGCGACTATTACAGATATTCCACCACCTCCTGGAAACACCAGCATCTCGCCATATTTGTGTAAAACGGTAAGCACCAGACAACCATGGTCCACATTCCCAAGATCCATTTCCTGCAAGAAGACACAATAGAGAGTAATAGTGCCCGGCCACTCTTTCAGTGGCGTTGGTTCCGGAAGTATTTTTCCCATTCATTTTTCCCATAGGGATTCAGAAAAAAGTCTTTGTTAAAGGGTTATAAGCGATGAAACAAATCAGGTATCAGGTATGAATCAAATTACAAATTTTTATTTCAAGCAAAATAGTTTTTGAAAATCTGACAAAAATACCAAGGAAAAAGAATGTGTACTTAAAGACTTTAGTGAGTACGGGGGACGTGGGCTTACTTATTTATTTACCAATTTATGTAATTGTTTACTTCGTTTTATTAGTGTGATTTTTTTAAAATCTTTTTCTATCATTTTGCAAGCAAAGATGGAGTTGGTGAAGAAAAATGTCACTTCGAATAGAAATATTTCACCCAAAAGGCGAGCCTGTGGATATCATATCACACATGCAATTTGCAAACATTGCACAAGAGTTATGTCAGTGAAGGAGTCTCAAACCACAGTCAATTATTCCCTAAAATTGAAAGTGAAAGCAAAAACTGTCCAAGCTTTTGCCATCTGACTCTGTTCAGTGCATTCATTCTCTCAGACACGACAAGAGCTGAATCTACCTCAGTGCTGATAAAGGTATATCAAATCTTAACTTATTTGCTTAACATTTATCTTGTCTATACATTAATGATAGTGAATTTTTTTTTGAAGAATCAATATTTCTAAAAAAAATAATAATAATAAGAATTGCAATGCAAATTTAACACATAACTTACCCTGTTGAACAGTTTATCCAGCTTGGTCATGAATTGTCTGGAACATTTCAAAGAGGTTTCCTCCCTTTCATTTTGCAGAAATTTTCCAAGGGCCTGAAAATTATTGTGTTTGAAAGCCTCATCCACCAGTTTCTCCACCTAAGTAATAAATTATAACGTGAACTTTGTGGTATTGTGCAAAAAATGAATACAAATCGTCACGTATAATTACAGGAGACAAAGGCATTACAGAGGTGAGAGGTTAACGTTAACGTTATTTCCATTTTCCAAGAAATAAAAGCGTGAAGTAAACAGCTCTTTTGAGTTTATTTCTCACCTGATGGTCCTGCAAAGGTGCCATGATGCACAGATGATGACCTGTTTTAAATGTTGAAGATATTAAATATGATCTCAGACGCACACAATTCAAAGAAAATACAATTCCAGGAAAGATGAGAACTCAGCTGTCTTCTAAATGTCAGTCTTTCTAATTCTCGAAATTACATTAACTACAAAAGTCACTAAACTGCGTGCTTTGGCTTTGTTTAGTTTAGGATGCGATATTTTAATCAAATTATGTTGTTAGCGGACTATTAGTCAGTTAATAATTCAACAACAGTATAGGCAGCGAATGGCTGTGGCAAAAACAGCATAATAACACACATAACAGTAAAGATTGTTGCTGTAAGCGATAATATTTGTCTAATTATTTGATGGAGTAACGTTAGGCTAAATCGTAGCTAGTTTAGCCTTGTTGGCGAAGTGTTCAGATTACGTTAAAGTTAACATTAAGTTACCTCAGATTTATGACTGACGCTTCAACGGACTTCAGGAGGAACTTTCACATCTATTGACGTTAACAAATAACGTTAATGTGAAGTTAACGCTGATCGTTCGAGACGAAAATGTCAATTGTCACTCAAAATCGTTTGTAAAAGAAAGATTTCTTTCGTGTTTGTCGGTTGTATGGAGCCGTTGTGTTTTAATAACGCGGGAAAGTGAAATGACGAGCACGCGCGGCCACATAAACAGACGCTGGCAAAAAAAAAAGTTGTTCTTTCGATGTTTCTCGATTCAAAACTCACCGAGTGTACAGTATATTCAATCATTATTAAATAGACTTTTTTTGATTAAAGTAAATTACTTTTAAAAACCTAACCATATAACCTATTTAGTTTGAATTAATTTTTAGTACATTAAAATAATACAAATTATTTCATGTTTTGTTATCTTATCTGAACAAATGAACCGACTAAACTATTTAAAATGGTGTCTTAATAATAAATGATAAAAAAAATTAAAACGGGTTTTAGGTTTGAAACCTTTCCTATAAACATTTTTTTTAAATAACTCAGTAGTTTTAAAGCTGTTGAGATAAAACTTTTGTCCATCAATATATATATATTCAAATATCAGGGCTGCACAATTGCAAACATGGCTGTTTTATTATGAATTGACAAGGTAATAACAGTAAAGATGATAATGCATTATGATGAAGAGGACCTCTACTGATCTTTGTGGCGGAGTGAAAAGGTTTGTAGATCTCTCTCAAATACTGGTAAAACTGCTAATTTCAAGTATGTGGGTATTGGTACACTTTCAATGTCATGTGGTACAACTACAGTATATACATACAACTATTTGATTTGGTTGTACCGCCTAACATAAAAAGTCAAAAAATGAATTTAAACACTTTGAAATGTTAACAACTGAAACTTGTTAAAACACATTTTTCATGACTCAAAAATATGCATTACATCCGTTTTGAAAAGATTGTTTTTAAAAAACATCTTTTTTTAAGCTTTATTTGTCAATGACTCAAATGTCAATTATTGTAAATTAGTTTGTTTTCATGAACTGAATGATGGTGTCAACAAACAGAAGTTACAATAATAATAATAATAATAATAAAAACACACTTAAAAGCACAATGTTGTGTCAAATATGGCTTTATTGGAAGTTAAAGGACAATGTGATAAGAGTCACTGAATATTTTTTAACCAGTTGTTTAAAACAAGTGGTATTCCCAATCTCCACTGAACACATCCTTATAATTTATTCCATCAACATCTGTGTTAAAATATACACAAGTAGGCTACACCACAGTGACAATAAAATCCTTACACAAACAAGAGCAAATCTGAAATGTAAAAAAAAAAAAAAAAAAATTCAGTAAAGGCACTTTTTGATTCTATATTGCATTATAAAGTCATCATACAGTAATACTCTCAGTGCTACAGTGCAGTTAAACAGTTCTTAGTTAAAATTCTCATATTTCAAAATATTATTCACAAAGGAAATGTGCTATGGCAAGACCTCCAGAAGCTCAGCAATGTATATCACATGGCGAAAATGCTGGTAGTTGCAAGTAAAAAAAAAAAAGAAGTGAAAACAGTGCTCTAAAATAAGTTCCATCTAACTTTCAGTGTCCTCAGATAAAGTGTATCATGCTGTCTTCACATTCCTTCGGCACAGGCAGGTTGTAACTCTGACAGGTTAATTTGTAATTCTGCCCACCATTGTTATCCCAAAACTGAGTCCCCATTACTTTATAACAGACCGCAAACTCCAGCACAGCCCCAGGGTGAAGGATGAATGGAGGAACGGGGAGATGAAATCGAAAAGTGTCACAGCAGGGGCCATTTGAAATAGATTTGCTTGCAACCCAGTAAGCCTTGGTTTCTGAGCAACTCTTCCAGTTTGTAAAGGAATAGCGAACACTCACTTCCTTCTCAAACGCCAAATTTACAACTTGAATGATCCCTATAATGCCAGGCTCATAGCACAAAACCCGCTCCAGACATACTTGCTGAAAACACAGACGATCCGTGAAGTTTGAGCATTCGCCTGGCTGGACAGAGAACATGGGTTTCAAATATGGTAGGGATATCTCCATCCTCTTACTCGAGGCCAGCTCAGAATTCATTAACAGTCGGAAGAGAACATGCTCTGGGACAAATGGGTCCTCGCCGCTTTTGAAAATCTTGACATTTTCCAGGTCCAACCCCAAAGAGTCCACAAATCGGACGCTGGCTCTGCGACTAAGCTTCCTTCTCTCTGATGGAGATGGAAGGGATTGAGTCCGCCTCTGGATGATGGATTTGGTTGGGGGTTCACATGACAGGCTGCGGCCAGCAGTTTGCCTTGGAGTCGTTCTCGGGCTAGGTGGACGAATTTTAACTGGCCTCCTCGCACTGTCCGGTTTTGAGCGGGACATGCCCTGGGAAATCGGTGTGGAACTTTGTTTTGAGCCACCTGATACAGTGGTAAAAAATAGGTCAGCATTCATCTCTTCGAGGGGTGTGTCTTTATTGCAACATCCCAAAGACCAGGCCATGTTTATTAGAAACAGTTCCCTTCCAGTGCACCTTGCACAGAGAACTTAGAGAGACCTGAAAATGAGAAATGTTCTAGGTTATATATACTTATTAAATATTCGAGTAAGTGCAAAGAAGCACGTCTTTTTTACAGGCTATGGTTTGTTCTGCTTCTGCCATAACACTGTGCAGCTGTGAAAACATGGCAGGCTCACTAGCTACTTTAATCTCAGCTCACTTTAATGCAAGATACATTTAATATCTTTTAAAATGGTACAGTGTCATTGCAAACGTATATAGTCAATGACTTTGGCTCTGTACAAAAATTCTAACAAAAGAAGTTGTTCAAGTTCGTGTTTTCATTGTCTCACCAGTGAAATCCGACGTGTTTGGGTTTACGACGCATCTGAAGATACTCCGACGCTATTTTTATAAACCAAGCGTTCATAATGTGGAGGAGCTTGACACAAACTCTGTGCAAAGGTGAAGTAGGCTATACTACGTGATTTCACTCACATACGATGCATTTCTTGCAAACTGCGCAAGGCTGGTAGGGGTGTGACGTCAAAGGCAGGGGGCGTTGCAACTGCGTCAGCTGTATTCGGGAAATGCTGTGGGTCTCAGGGTTGCCATGTCCGCCGATTATAAACGCCGATTTTTATCAAAATGTAAGCTTTTTGGCTTTTAGTATGAATATGTTAGACTTACTGTTATCTATAAGCGAGTGTGCTCCAAAACAATGACAACATTTATATTTAGAAGACATAGACTAGGTAAACGCGGTGAATTAGAGACTACATTAAATATATATTTGTGTGTTCCCATTTGTTCAAATAGCAAAAGAAAAACTCCACAATAGTGTTTTCATAACTTTCAAAAAGAGTAAAAAATAAAATAAAAATAAAAATAGAGAGAGATTGATAACGGCAGTCAGAAGTGAGAAGGATGCTCAACTTACGTCACTTCCACAGCAGCTGTATTAAAAACATTACTACTTTTTTTGTAATTTGATGCAAAGGTAATGTAATAATAAATATAGTGTTAAAAATGTAAATACATTAAAAAAAATGAAAATATAAAAAACTTTGCAGGATTTATGATGCTGATTACGTTAAACGCGTCATCCCAAGGGTCCATTAAAGACGGAATGATAACCATAGCCCATAAAAAAATAGTCAATTTGGATTTCACACTGAATTTGAGGTGTGGTTTTGATGTTTTTAGACCCAGTCAGAAATAAACAGGGCTCACTATTATTTTATTTTTTTCAGACCAGGATGTTTACCGTTGATCTGGCAACACTGCTGGTCATTTTAATAAAACGGTGATTCTTGCGAATTTACACAACCACAATAGCAGCCTCTTGATACATACCACTACGCGTAGCCTATTTTGTTTTTTTTTGCCGTGTTCTATGAGTAACCGTAACAGACAGCGGTGAAATTACCCCGCTTCTCGTATTTCAGTTATAAACTTCAATTCCCATCATGCCAGTCGTAGGATCACGACGACAACGATGCTTGAACATACAAAGCAGCAGGTAAACAAGTCTGGTCGAGCTGTAGTGATGCACAGTAACGGCGATTTTAACGCGTTTCGCTCAGTGCAAGATGATGAGAATTTCATGAACAAGATGCAAAGGTAATTATTGCCCTGTTAAAAATTTGTTTGTTCGACCCAGTTTAATGGATTACTCTAATTCTTGGCAAACTGGAAAATATATAAGCGGTGACGCTGTTATTTCGCTTCATATCTGCAATGATGCTCTTCTGTCGCACAGTGCGTGTATGCGCTCACAAATGGGACATTTTGGGGCACAGCTGAGAGCTTGGAAACTGCGCCTGTACACTTCATAGTGTTGATGCGATGGGACCCATCCTGCAGGAACGAACTGCGTCTGCGACACTGAAGAAGGTGCCAGACCAGGAGAAGGTTAGAATGAAAAATGCAGAAAACACTGGGATTGTTGCCAGGTAAGTTTGATTAGAGCAATTTCTTAAAATCAAACAGAAATAAAAAAATATATATATTTCACTAAGAATATGTGCTTTATTTGCAGCAATAATAAGAGAGGAGGATACGTCAACCAGAATAAGAAACCTCTCAAAAAAACAGTGTCCTTGCATCCAGGCCAGGAGAAGGATCCTCTGCCTGAAGCCAAAATTGTAAGTTACATATGCAACATTAAGATTCATCAAACGTCTTTATTTCTGTTTGCAGCATTTTGAATGTTTTCATGATCTTTCCAAGGTCCAAAATGGCATTAAACCAAAGAAAGCTAAGAGTCCAACTGGCGGCACTTGCAAGTTGCGTGGGTGAGTTTTACTTAGCATATGGAATTTATTATATAAATAACAATGAATAGTATTAAAATAAAACAAATGGATATTTCACTGTAGAATGCTCTGATTAACTGATCAGAATCAAGTGCTGTGCGATAAATATTAGGGATGGGTATTGACACAGATTTCACAAATCAATTCGGTTTAATTTCAATCTATCATTTGGTTCTAAATCAGGTATAAAAAAAAGTTGTAAGAAAAGAAAACTAAACCATGTAGCAGGGCTCGACATTAAGCCTATTCATGTGCTTGTCCTTCGGACAAGTAAATTTGTCATTCACTTGTTCGAGTAAAAAAATTGTCTTGTAAATATAATTTATTCTGAAGCAATATTCTCATCAGTGTTCAGTCATCTTATTTAAATTTAAATCTGCATATTGTCATATCCCTAACATTTCCCTCTCTAATCTTATTAAATGTATGCTTCATCTTTCATTTCAAATTCCTAAATTTGATCAATAAATTGAATTAGAATAATAAGACACTATAGGCTGTTACCCTAGGTAGGGCTGATCAAATTAAATAAATTACACTGAAAAAATACAACCGCATTAAATAAAGTTATGAGATTTTAAAAATATTTGTATATATACAAATAACAAATGTTGGAAACAATGATACTTTTAAACATAACACTAAACCGCCAGTTGGTGGCGGCAGGAGACCGTCTTAATGAGCGAGTCAATGAGTCATTCAAACGATTTGTTCAAACTACTGATTAATTCAAGAACGAGGCAGCTGTTTTTGAATGGGTCATTGATTCTTTGACTCAACCGATTCATTCAAAACGCTGAATCATTCAGTAATGAAAACACGGCTGAGTGTTGCTGTGAGCTTTGTTTGAAAATATTTTCGCTGCTGAAAGAAACAGAACAAAAACGGTCAATATTGCGTGTAAAATGTAAGCGACTTAATTTTAACTGTTTACTGAACTGTTGTATGAAATCATGTCACATTTTCAATCGTGATAGTATTCAGGAAAAAATAAAAATAAAGTAAAAAAAACTCCACATTTTGAATTTTTTAGGCAGTTTTATGTTGTTAAGTGAGTTTCTTTGCGTGAGCTCATTGGTTTCCATTTCTCCTGGAGAGGCTGCGTGAGCCTCAAGCGCAACCTTGTTATCGTCAGTAATAGCTTACATTTATTATCCACAATCAATCGTAACCAGGCCCGGATTGGCTAATCGGGAGCACCGGGAGAATTCCCGGTGGGCCGGTCTGTTTTATTGGCCAGGAGGGCCGGTGTTGTCATGGCACTGGGTTGAATGCTTTATATAGGCTCCAGTCACAGCTTTCTGAGTGTATAATGAACGTTGTGAAATAATTGCCTAATATTAACTCTAATTTGGTGCTGCATTTGCATATCGCGACGATAACCGACCTAATAATCTGAGCTGCTTCAATATTCAAACACCGCTCGTCGGCAATGGCAAAATGTTTGAGATGACCGATCAAAGCAAGCGGGATTTATGTTCACAGAAGCGCGAGCCGCGGCCGCGCGCAAATCCCAACGCGACGCTTCACGAGATTGGATGCAAGTGGCTAAACTAAACAGCTGTTTTAATTACGAAAGAAGTTTTAAACGACCGAAAGAAATAATCAGTTTGTGAAGACTGTATCAATAAAAACTCAGCTTCGGGAAGGGGAGATTTACAGGTAACCTAAGATAAAGAGACTGAGAGAAGAAGAATGAGAAAAGATGGAGATGAGAAATGAGAGCAGGTAGAGGAATAGCCTATTGCATAGGCTACTGTGCCCAGAATGAGAATAATTTTATTACAATGGATTCCTATTTAACACAGACATTGACATACATTTGTTCTTTGCCAATGATGATCATCAGTGTAAAAATAAGCTCAATTTAACAACACAATCCCCTATAGGCTAATATATTGCCATTGTTATTGTATAAATATAGTTATAAAACGGTTAGTTCCAATCCTTGATTCTGATTGGTCAATAGCTGTGCTTTATTCACGATAAAACACGGCTATGACCGCTTCACCCAACGGTTCTATGTATCACTACACAACACCCCTAGCAACCACTCTTAGCAACTTAAACAGATGTTTCATCTCATTGATATTGTTCATTTAAAGCTAGAGCAGAGCATTGTGAGAGATCGAGTAAGCGAGTGTACCTGCATTTACAGTAGACGTAGCATTTTCCTTCAGGTCAGTCCTATATTCATAATAAAAAAATGCGTTTGAATGTCCGCTGCATATTTTGTCCTTTTAACAGTCATGGGGTTTTCCGTGCATAACGTTAGTCATCTGTCAGTTGCGTCTGTCTTCTCCGTGATCACAAGTTCGAGTCCTTTCAAAAGCCTTCTCTACAGACTCACTCACTCACCCACTCACTCATAAAGACAGTCTTTGCCGCCATCTATTGGCGAAATAATATATGTAACTTCTGTTGCTGTTCACGTTCCGGGACTATTTTTTCCAGCGGAAGGCAGGCTTTTAGTGATTTTACTTCATGAAAGTTGCATAGATACATATTTTTCGGCTTTAATATTTTTATTGTGTGGCAACCGTTTTATAAAAGCAATAAGGTACTCGAGGCAAGTGCTGTATCGTGAATAAGTAACGGCTGAAGGGGTTGCAGGCACTCCGCTTCGCGTCGTGCCTAACAACGCCCTCCAGCCGTTACTTATTCACGATACAGCACAGCCTCTCGTACCTTATTGCTTACATATTTGTATACCTCGAATGTGTTTATATTTCCCCATATCAGCACTGGGACTTTTCACTGTTTGTATTACTTCAATTGTCTGGGTGGGCATATGCCCCCGAACCCCCAGCAAGATCACTTTTTGGACCTCTGTATTTATAAAACCCTGTATACGGCTATTGCACTGAATAGAAATTTATATATATTTTTAAATACAATGAATAACAAGGCTGTACAGAACACTGCACTATTGCAGACTTATAGCTATACTGAGGTTTCAATTACATTATTTTAATATAGTCAGACGGGAACTAAAGTGGGCCGGTCTAAGGCATGAAACTCCAGGGCTGAAAATTAGTCCCACTCCGGCCCTGATCGTAACTTACAATAAATGTAATAAAATCAGAATCATTCTCACGTTTTGGTGATACCCTAGTAATGTTTTTGTTATTGACGTTTTAATCAGGCTATTTGTCCGGTCGGGCAAGTAAAATTCTCTTTTTCTTGTCCCTTCAAAAAATCCACTTATCCCGGACAAGCGTTAGAGCCGAGGCCCCCTGAAATCAAAATTTACGTTTTTTAGCTCTTCGGATGAATGTAAGCCGTAATGTTATAAATAAGCTGGTGTGTTCCAAAACAATAACAAAATTCGCATTTAGGAGATATAAGCATTCAAAACTTAGTCTCTCACTTCCGCTAAAATGGATCACAGATTTTTATGACGTCACCGCGGACTTAAGCTTCTCATCACATCTTCAGTCCAATCAAATGCTCTCTAGAATCTAAAGCGTCCCGCCCCTTATGCTATAATACCACCTGGCCAAAGCGATCGTGGCTGTACCTGACTGTATGTTCGGCAGTAAACGCATGCTCCGAGTCAGCTGCTCATGCTCATTAGTTCCATCAGTTAACTGTCGGAGTTACTGGAGTAACATATACTCCGGGATATTGTTTATTTCAAATCATAGTGACTGTCAGGCACGTCCGAAAGCGAGTAACTTTAGAAAACTGGATCAGCGCTGACTCTGTTTTGAACGATTCAGTTCGATTTGGTGAACTGGTTTGACCGGTTCATAGAGCGGTTCGACCGGTTCTTAGAGCGAATCTTGCAGAGACGGAGAGCGTGAGTAGGAGCTGTCCATGAGCTAGCAGCAGGATCAACTTTATGACTCTCTATGGGCTTCTCCCTTGACTTTATGCCTCCACGTCCTCCCGATTGTGCGCGAGCTTCTACTTCTGTCTATACGGTAATTTCTCTACTGTGCGACAGAGAGTCACGTGTTATGGCGCAATCGTTAGCCTATTTTTACAAAAACTGCTTCTACGGGACCATAACGTAAGATACAAGGTAATGGGGCTTTTTATTCATTGTCATGTTTCTTTTTAAATAAACAATGGACAAATGGAGTCTTTAAATGCCTCAGATGTAAAGTTATTCGCTGTCAAAGTGACGCCAAAATGAATGGAAGTCAATGGAATGCTAACAGCAGGTGAAGGCTTGCTAGCCAATGGCGGCCCTCAGAAGTCCTGTGCGGTAGTCCAGAGTAGTTTCAGTTTCCGGCTGGTGGATTAACTAAACGCTATTGGCTATTTGAAAAGGGGAGGAGCCATTCAATATGTCCCCATTTAGCTTCCTGTTTCAGTGGAAATTACATCAACGCATCATACAAAGCTTTGCGGCACTTCAGTGGGCCTTTAATGTCGAGGCCTGCATAGGAAACTGAGTGGTACATTACTATAATATAAAGGTTAAAATGAACAACAGAGTCCAAACTATTAAATTCATTTGCGATTTTATTTTTAGGTATAATAAGCATCAAACTAATAAAAACTGAGTTGTTTACAAACACGCACATAAGGCAGTTCTGAACTCCTTAAATTATGTTTCTACTGAAATATAACCATTTAAACTGTGGCTGTCATAAGTTGTTTTCCTGACAGATTTATTCAAATATGCATTAAAGGGTTAGTTCACCCCAAAATGAAAATTCTGTCAGTAATTACTCACCCTCATGTTGTTCCAACCCCGTAAGACTTTCGTTCATCTTCGGGACACAAATTAAGATATTTTTGATTAAATCTGAGAGCTGGATCACTCCTCCATAGGCTTCTTAAGGCATCGAAACTGGCCGGCCCAGAAACGTTAATAAAGACATTGTTAAAATAGTCCGAGTGACTACAGTGGCTCAATCTTAAGTTTATCAAGCGCCGATAATACTTTTTGTGCGGAAAAAACAAACAAAAATAATGACTTTATTCAGCTATTAATTTCCTTCTCTGTGGGCCTCGAGTTAGTTCACGTAGTGAAACTGCGCAGCACTTCTGGTTGAACGTCACATGCATCACACACATGACCAGTGTTGGCCAATAGTGAGCCTACGTGTGACGTACAACACAGAAGCTTTGCGCTGTTTCACTACGTGAACTAACTCGAGGCCCACAGAGAAGGAAATTAATAGCTGAATAAAGTCGTTATTTTTGTTTGTTTTTTCCGCACAAAAAGTATTCTCGTCGCTTGATTAACTTAAGATTGAGCCACTGTAGTCACTCGGACTATTTTAACGATGTCTTTATTAACGTTTCTGGGCCGGCCAGTTTCGATCCCTTAAGAAGCCTATGGAGGAGTGATCCAGCTCTCAGATTTAATAAAAAATATCTTAATTTGTGTCCCGAAGATGAACGAAAGTCTTACGGGGTTGGAACAACATGAGGGTGAGTAATTACTGACAGAATTTTCATTTTGGGGTGAACTAACCCTTTAAATAAGACATCTCTAACAAGTTAAGTAAAAAATATTATGAACATATTATGAAGTTATTTTTTTTTTCTAGCTAACAAATGTTATGGTCATTGGCCTTCCTGAGGTAAACGTAAAGTTATGTGATATATTGTTTACAAGCTGTTTTTAACGTCTTTTGGCAGTTGAAACACTCATTGAGAGATTTTAGAGATTTTACTGTAAATTTAAAAGAAATGCATTACTTTACTAGTTACATGAAAAAAGTAATGTGAGTACGTAACTCATGTTACTTGAAATGCGTTACCTCCACCTCTGATGATAAGTTCACGTGCGACTTGAGTACATAAACAGTAGGGGTGGCACGGTACATGAAAAAACATCCGAACCGTTCGGTTCGCTTGTCTCGGTTCGGAGAACAGTATTTCTTTTTTTAATTTTGTTATGATTTGACAGGATAGGAATATCAAAAGTAACAAATCGCCGAGCTTATTGTGATTATTGGATGGGAGGCACACTACAGATAATGAAATTTGATTCATGCATCAACGGAAAACAGCACAGACTAAAAGGGATTTAAGAATCATTATCATTTCATTGAAGTAGAAAAATCAATATTGTCAACCCAGGCCTAATAAATTAATGAAATATCTCACTTGAACTATTTCTGTAGCACACAGGGAGAATCAGACATGAGGCCTTCACGTCCCAAACTGTCATGTCCCGAGCGTGGACAGGAGAGGCCGAAAATTCAGCTGGAGCCTCAGTGCTGTAGAGAGATGGTACTGAGCCAAGTGGCCTTGGAGAAGAGCCGCCGTGCTCTCTCGCTGCCCTTGGCTCCTCAGCCAGTGCTGCAGCATTTCACCCTGAAGAATCACGTCCCTGATCTGGAGTCACTCCGCCTTTTGGAGCACCAGGAGGACGACACGGACAGCGCCAGCGACCTGTCTGACTCCGAGAGGCTCCCTGTGCTGCCTTCTCCCTGCACTCCTCCTCAGCTTAACCTCCGAGCAGAGGTGATCACCTCCATGGACCTGCATCCCGACATACCTGGACCCCGGTTGGTGGAGGACGATGATGTCAGCTACAGCTACCCAGACTTCCTGCCACCTCCATTCAATACCTGGAGCCTGAGGCAGCTCGCCATTTTCCTCAACACGGAGGGTAAGAGGGCTCCCCGGCCAAAACCCGTAGGGCAGCTAGAGAACTATCTGGAGCGCCTCCTCCAGCTGGAGTGGCACCAGATACAAACCATTCAGGCTGAGAGTGGGCAGCACGTCGTGCCCATCATCCGAACAAAAGTTCATGCCACCAGTGTCCTAGCAAACAGCAACCGGACCAGGCCTCACACTGCTCCTCCGACACGCCTCAGCTCTCCGAAAAGCTTTCGCCAGGGTCAGCGGGGCTTCTTCTCTTCAGTGAGCAGCCCATCATCCACCCAGCTTTCTCGCCTAGTTTGCCCTCACTGCCATATCCGTTACCCACTCTGCAACGGCACTTGCTCATCGTATGCCTACCAGCGCCATTCTCGCCTCAGTCCCCTTTTAGAGCGCAAAGCTCCTCCGGCCAACACCCAAAAGAGAAGCAGCAGTGAAAGCCGGGCCTCCACCTCCGAAAGCCGCACCATATCGAAAAACCAGCACCTGGTCAGTCCTCAAGCAGCAAAGGCTCAGCAGAACCACATGCAGGCCGTGGGTAACGTCCGCAGGTCATCTCATGAACTTAACTCGAATGTCAAATCCCATTCTTTGGTCAAGAAAGGAAAGACTGTGAGGTCAAATGAGGCAGAGAAACAGAAAGATCCACCTGGAGCGAAATGTGAAGGGGTTGATAGGCGAGTTCCTGCCGCTATAAAGCGGGATGGTGGCGGTCCAGGGAAAAAAATGGTTAAGGATTGTCCAAGAGCCGAAACAGGTGAAGTGCGCTTCAGATCTGGCACTAAAAGAATGGTCGCCAACAGCTGCGATGCAAAAGTGCCATCAGCTACCAAGACTAATGGCAAAGTGAAAAATGCTCAGTACGCCAAATAGTTAGTTACGCCTATTTTCAGTTGCCTCTAAAACATTTCCATTTCGCATATTGTAAAGAAGAGCTAATTAAACAACTCTAATATCACTGCAGTTAAAAGTAGTTATATGTAGAAAGGATAAAGGTGTGGTCAGGTTACCAAAATTTGGCGGGAAAAAGGTCCATTGTCTATTGGCAGTAGTGTTGTCAAAAGTACCGACTTCGGGACCAAAATGTGACTATACCAGCATTTCCCTCTAGCATTTTGAGCGCTGTTGAACGAATTGTTAAACGACTCTGATTGGCCATTGTGTTCACGCACACAACACAACTTTCAAATTAAGGAGCTTTCTGTTGGTCAATGATAACTTGAACCCGTTCGGCCTCAGGTGAAATCGCATGGATTTCTGTTGAAACGGTAAATGTGACCGCACCCTTAAAAATGTATCCTTCTCTTTAGAAATCATGCCTTTTCATCATTTTAGTATATTTCAATGTGCATTCCTTCAAGATATATTTATTTTATCTGCTTAAGTACATAAAAGCAGGTTATCTTTGCTTACTGTACACACAAATCCTCTATAAAATGAAACAAGCGTAGTTAAATCCAGTGTGCATGTACATATCTCTTATTTGAGGGAGGTCCGGCTAAGAATGTCAGTGTGTGGCGTTTTGTGTAGTGAGCACTACTGGTCAAAGAATGTATATTTTTGAGATGAATAATGAATGTTTTGTAACGACTGTATTTTTGTAAAGTGCTATTTACAAGCACTTTTTTCCTGTTATTTATTGAATAATTTATGTTTATTACAATGGTTTGAAATTTGAGTTAAATAAGAATGTTTTGTGTAATGCATTATTTATCTTTGAATGTTTTGGAAGACATTAGCCTTTCAGCGAGTTAGATGTAGTTGAATTGTGATGTTAGGATTGGTGATGGTGGTTTTGTGTTGATGGAGACGGAACTATTAAGATAATACGGTCAAGGTTGTCTGTGTTTGTTTACTTCTTGAGAACTTTTCAGGTGATTACATTGAACTTCATGTCTCTAAATATAGCATGTTTTGTTTATTTTTTTAAGGAACAATGATGGTAGTGGTTTTGTAGTTTTATATGTGTAATGCATATGACTTGAAAGTTGGTACAGGTTGAGGCCATACAGTACGTAGTACCACATTTCCATACTTGATGTACTGTATGTAGCACCATTTCATTTTGGATGTCATGACATGTACTGTAAAGTTCCCTTATCAGGCAAAAAAACACACACTTTTGTCCTATCATTGTCAGATTGTGCTTTTATTTTGCTGACACTTTTTTGGTAGAGTTGAATGCAGCTATTTTTATGAGATACAAAATAAACCGTTTTCATTACATCATCAGAGCCTCTGTCTACAGTATTTATTTGAATGCAGAGATTGATACCGTCATTGAAATTTCATTATAAAACGGTAAACAGTGACAGACCATGTAATTTTCAGCAAGTAAATGAAAATATTCAGTGGCTTTGCAATCTCTTCTGGGTATTTAAATGCTCATATTTACACTCGTCTGAATCCTTGGGTGAATATTATAAGCATTGTAGATATTTGTGGGATGTCATGCGTAGTTTGTCACACTGATTAGATGTCATCTGCATGTCATGTTCTCTTCTGTCCTGGGAAAGGCTTTAGAAGCTGTTGAAGCTGTTTCTGGCGATCATTCACACAGCCTGTAAAAACAAAACGAGCAAAAAGCATTTGTACTTATTGCAGGAGACATTAGTAAATGCTGTATGTGATGTGATGCTTTCCACAAATAGGTGTTTCATTATTTGTTTAAACAATAAAGATGCAAATCCGATGTTCGTAAGAGAGAAAACAGAGATGTTTAACAGCATATAGCATGAAGAGTAGTAGTAATATGTTATTTGCAACCCTGTTACCAATGACATCTTTTTAAACAACATTTTAACAACATTAACATTTTGTAGACAATGACAAAATCACACAGGAGTTAAACCGGTACCAGATTTTGGTCAAATAAATAAATTAAAATTAAATGAAAAATAAAGCAGCTCATTTAATAGAATTCCTGAGCTCCTGAACGTTTTTAACGTTAATGGGATAGTTAATAAAAAAGTAAAATGAAAAAAAATGTCAGCATTTATTTCCCCTCATGTCATTACAAACCTGAACACAAAAGAACATATTTTGGTAACCAAACAGTTTTGGTGATCATCGACTTCCATTGTACAAAATATGTTCCACAAAAGAATACAGTCATACAGTTTTGGAACAACCTGAAGGTGAGACAATGATGACAGAATTTCATTTTTGGTGCAACTAATGCTTTGACCAACTACTTATTGGAGGCTTTAAAGCGCTATTTTACGGAAGCGTATTGCATTCACTTGAGGAAAAAAAATCTACTCTGTTTTTCTGAATTAACGAGTTAATTCTCTCAGAATTACGAGATATTTTTTCATGAAACATTTTTTTTGCTCTGTTTTTCTGAATTAACGAGTTCATATCTCAGAATTATGAGATCAATTTTTCTTGAAAAACATTTTTTTCATTCTGTTTTTATGAATTAATGAGTTACTCATACTTTTGAGATAATTAAGTCATTAATTCAGAAAAACAGAGCAAAAACTTTTTTCCATGAAAAATTATCTCGTAATTCTGAGATAATTAACTCGTTAATTCAGAAAAACAGAGTCGATTTTTTTTCCTCAAGTGAATGCAATACGCTTCCGTACTATTTGGTACCCTATTTTTAGAAAGTATCATGCACGCATTGTTAATGAATATACTTCTTGTTGAACTGGATGTAATTCACAAATGCCCAAGAGTGTCTCTAAAAAGCTCAACTATGGACAGAAACAGGCTCCTTGAGTGCACTATAAGCCAAGATCTCCAATTAGGCAGTAAAAGACACTAACCAAGGTGTGTATTTGCCACGAGGCAAGAACAACCCATGGCCTCTAGACCGACATCCGTGTAGACGGGTCCATCGTTCCACATTAGGTCAAATCCGCCAACCCTCTTCTCCTTGCCTGTCAGACTAAAGCACAATAGAATGTTTTGGACAACAATGTCAACATAGACAATCCTCCACTCTCTTCCATGTAATTTTATGTCAAATGTCAAATCGTACCGGCCCTCCATGTCTACAATGTGCAAGGTGTCCTCCAGCAGTCTGTATTTTAGGTCATAGTCCTCCTGACTGCTGGCTGTGAGGGAGGGTGAAGCGTTCACTTCGATTAGCCACCTGCATGATGGCAAACTGCTGTCATTTTTTGTTTTGTTTTTAGCAATGCAAGGTATTCCTACATTCATACAGCTCTGATAAGCAACATGAAGTCCAAAATAAAGCATTCTCACGGCTTTAAATCCTGGTCCAGCAGTATGTCATATCCGTACAACTCAAAACAGTGTTTGTCATTGATGATGGTCTTCTGAACACTAAGCAAACTGCGAATAAATATGTTGTCAATTTCTTTAAACAGAGTCTGCACTGTCTCGAAACCATGCTTAGCAGTCAGATAACAGCGCAGCTGTTGCATCAGCCACTTACAACCCTAGGAGAGAGTACAAGTCAGCGATTACTGCTTTTTAATAAAGTATATTTTAATGAACATAATAGTGTACTTTCAACATACCTTCTCAGGATCATAATCAGGAGCAGTTTTTTGCACTGCAACATTGGTGAGATGAACGTCTGTGTACATAAAGGTTAAAGGTGATAAACAAGCGAATTAATTCCATGTCTGTTTGTGTACGATAGGGCGTAAAATAAAAATAGAGTGTAGTTCAGAAATATATAGCAAAGGATACACTGATCATCTATGCTGTTGAGAGAGAACCTGGTGTTGGAAAATCGAGCAAAACCATCACGATACAGCCAGGCCTTCAATGGAATATACTGCCAAAAACAAAATGACATTCATTACATTGCCTGTCTTGTTTTAAAAATGCAACATTCATTTGTGTGTCAACAGTGATGTGAAGTCAACCAGGACATTGTACTTGGAGCTGTTCACCACAATACAAGAAGTAACAATCATTATGCAAATGCATTATTTAGGTTATAATAATGCATTAATTATGCATTTGCTAACTTATAGCCTAGTTTTTTTTTAATGGGACATCAGGTACGCTGGGGAAAAAAAATGGTGTAGAAATAAATTTGGTGTAGAAACTCAGCTTTTTACAAGTCGGAATCTCATAATTGCGGTAATTTCAACATGGCGTGAATGCACCTTAAAGGGATAGTCTTCATTTACTCGCCCTCAAGTTGTTCCAAACCTGTATGAATTTCTTTTAGCATAAAATATAAGATATTTTTAAGATTATGGTGAACCAAACAGTTAATGGGACCCATTGACTTTCCATAGTATGGGGGAATAAATCAACTGTGTGGTTACAGACATTCTTCAAAATATCTTATATTTTATGCTAAAAGAAATTCATACAGGTTTGGAACAACTTGAGGGTGAATAAAATTAACTATCCCTTAAATTTTAATGTGCAATTGCAAAAATAATGAATTTTTTAAACATGTGTCTCACTGCAGCAGAAGAAAGTACTTTATCAACGAAAAATTATCCCTGTGCATATTTATGAAATACAGATTGCAATAAAAAAAACGCTCACTTACTGATGTTACAAGAACATAGACTCTCAAGTCAAATTTTCTCCCTGGTGGTAGAGGTAAAATACGTTCAGCAATTATAATAATAAAGGTCCAAATAAATCAAATTAAGACAATAAAGTACTGAAGCAAAAGGCCGATTCACACTGCACTGACAGATGCGGACAATCACCAGATTACAGTACGACATTCCGTGACTCAATAATCATGGATTCAGCGATCAATCTGTGAAAACAAGCTCTGACAGAGGACAACAGGGGTAACAGACTGATCCGACAAAACCTGGCCAAGTGTCATCTGTCGGTGCAGTGTGAATTGGCCTTGAAATGTATTAGATGTACCAGCTATGAGGTAGGGATTCTCAATGTAGCGCTGAGCGACATAGCTCTCAACTTGAGCCTCATCTCTCTGTTCTTCAGAGCGGGTGCCATCCTAAAACCAACAGCATTGCACAACATAGAGGTTTGGGATGAGGGTGAGCAACTAATGAAAGAATTTGCATGTTTGGGAAAATGTAAGATTTAAGATTCAGTGTTGTCCAATTTTACCTTCCTCCAATCTATGATATCTTTGAGTTTCCGAAACAGAAAAATTCCTTTCCCTTGTGATCGTGCCACCTGTGATGGGAAGTTATTGTAACAATGGATAACCTGTTGATGATCAGTTTGGTAGGATCGTACTGCTACAAACACTCACAGGCTTCATGATCCAAGTGCTCCCTGGGCTTCTCTTAAACTCTTCCACAAATATGTGATACTCACTGGGCAGCTCAAACGTCCGTGGGAAAAAGTCACATTTGGCTGCCTCTAAACGCCCAGCCTCCCGCTCTAAATTTTTTCTATACCTCTTCAGGTTTTTTACCATCAGGTTCTTTCGAGTCAGCTAAAAAAAAATATAAATAAATCATGATTATTTTCTGTTCACCTTCATTCAATTGTAATATACATACCATTCTGCAGGTCAGTAAATGTATTATACAACGTAATTTCATAATACTGACCTCGTAGTGGTTGCGAAAGTGACATATCCGCACGTGTTCCTCCATGTACGAGTGATCGAAGTTCTCTCTCAGCCATCCAACATCACACCAGTTAAAGTCCCAATCGCCTTCACTGTATGGAGAGACATGAATGCATGACGCAAAGATGATGCTGTACATACCGTAGGGCTCGAAAACACACACATTAAAAGCTCAGCACTTACTCTTTCACCTCTACCCAGCCTGGTCTCTGGTTTAGGACATCCTGAATGGTGTTGGTCAGGCCACATCTGTACCGTATACAACTCCTTACCTCCCTGAAAATGAACCACATTGGATTGTTCAACTACCTTTTATTCATACACATGTACATACCTACACACAGACGACAGTTTGAACTTCAGAGAAAATATTAGACGCTTTTTAAAAATGCAGTTTGTTCAAGCATCGCCACTAAAAGATTTTTTTTAATGTTTTTGAAAAAAGCCTCTTATGCTCATCAAGATTGCATTTATTTAGTCCAAAATACAGTAATATTGTCAAATTTTATTACAATTTAAAATAAATATTATCTGTTTGAATGTGTTTTCAAATGTAATTTATTAAAGGGATAGTTCACCCAAAATTATTTTTGGGTGAACTATCCCTTTGATGCAAAGCTGAATTTTCAGTCTTCAGTGTCACGTGATCCTTCAGAAATCATTCTGCTGATTTGATGCTCAAGAAATATTTCTTATTAATGTCAATGTTGAAATCAGTTATGATTGCTGTGCTGATTCATATTTTTGTTGAAACCGTGATACATTTTTTAGGATTATTTGAACGGCATTTGTTTGCAATGTAAATCTTTTGTAACATTATAACGTTATTTGCTGCGACTTATGAATGAATAAAGCTAAGACTTACCCTTCCTTTTTCCTCTGGGAACTGTAGGCACCTTTATGTCCAGCTGTCTGCTGTTAAAGTAAGTTTTTTTTTTACAGCAAACCTTATTAGAGCTGGAGAGTCACACAGTTTTGTAATGCAGAGCTAATTTTAAAGAAAGTGTGCAGAAATGGTTCTTGAATAGCACACAATTTCACGTGATTCAGTATATATTTTTGTTTCAAACGTCACCGGCTTACCTTATTCTTGGACATGTCAGAAACTAACCATTTCATAATAACAGCGGAACCTTAGCAGCGTGAGACTAGAACTGTGGTCTATCTGTTGTCATAGGAATCACCGCGGACCAATCGCCTCGCAGTATTCCGCAGTGACGTTCTGGGGGGGATCACTCCCATAGATCACTCCTCTTTTACTAGCTCCAGACCATAGACGCCAAACATGTCGTCGCCATCTTGGAACGGTTTGCTTATCGTCACCATGATCGTCACTCACGTAAGAATGTGTTGGTTTGTATTTTTATTTGTATCTACTCAATATTACAGGTTTTTACTATGGTACTTTTTAATGTTTTTACTTTTACCATTTTAACTTGTTATTAATGTTGTGTTAGCTGACACCTTCGTCTTGTTGTATTGTGTTAGTTTTGCAAAATCATCTGCTGAAGTCGATTGCAGATATTCATACATTAGGCTTGTTTGAGATGCGCCTTGCCTCGCCTGAAATGTAGTCGAGAGTAGGCGGCTGCAGTGAGAGGAGGAGTGAAGAAAGCGCAGGCAAGCCGGACAGATCTCTCTTCTCGCAGTGGATCTGACACCTGTGAGATCAGGCGGATATCGCGGGATTCACGCTCGTGCACGGTGTGGCTAATAAACTGGATGTAATTTAAGTTTTGTTGCTTATATATGAAAATAAATATAATGAAGACACCCAAAGTACTTATTTAATTCCATTTTAAATAGGCCTACTACGTGTTTATCAGTCATTTTTCTTTAATACAGACATGTGTTTTTATTTAAAGAAAATCATAAAAATTACATCACATAGATCGCACTGTCAGAGAGTTTGGGAATATCCACACATAATTTATACACATAAAACATGATATCAGAGTTTTGAAATCAAACATTTTAAAAAGAGAACAATACATCACGGTTGTTTAAACCAATGAGCATTAAGCTGTGTCGTCAGCAAGTGGTTTCCCATCATGCTTTTGATCAGCGCAGTCGGTGGAGAGCAACTGCGCGCGACTGCAGAATCCGACACGTGCGCCTTGCGGTCGCGAGAGTTTTTTGACATACGTCGGCATGACATCAGAGCAGGGCCTGAAATTAACACCCGACCACCTGCCAAATGCGGGTGAATTTTGCTATTGGCGGGTAACACTGTCAATCTACCTGCCACATTGGCAGGTAGCCAATGAGAATTGAGTGATTCATTAGGTTTTTTTTTTTTTACGTTTTCATTTTCATTGCGTTGGACCTTAGCTATAATGTGGCGGCACATTACTGGGGTAAAAAGGCCAGCTGAAACAAACAACCAACAAAAAGATGAGGATGAGTCAAAGAAAAGTAAAATAAGACATTTTAATACAAAGTGGTCAATTGGAGACAACGGCAAGGTTCGTGAGCGGCTGATTTATGACAGCGACTGTTGTTTCGTAACGTTCATGCGATCAGAAAGAAGATGAGGCCCTTTTCTGACTACGTTTGGATGTGCGAGTATTAAACTGTTGGTGAGATGGGATGAGATAATGTAACGCTGACGTAGGCTCCAGAACAATGACAGTTGCACAGATGTGTGCGTGTGCAACTGTAGTACATGTTGGGAGTTGGGAACCGGTGAGAAAATGTCCGGTACCCGGTAACTTTACCAATAATAATATTAATTTAGTTCTGCTTAACGGTTCCTGAACGCTGTAACTAAAAGCTGTCAGGACCTAGCTGTCTACGTGACTAAATCAGCCATCAACACAGCCGCGGGTGATTTGTTTACATACGAGCTGCGGTAGGTCTATAGATCTGTTGTGCATGTGTGTGTCAAAATCAATGAATAAAAAGATTTTTTTAAAATGTATATTCTAAGAGTTATTATTACTTATATTGATTTCGTTAATAACTTGACAGCACTTAAATGTGTACAAGTTAAAGAACAATATTGTGAAATTCCCGTTTTTCACCTTTAGGCTATGAGCCAAAAAAAAAAAAAAAAGGCTGGTAAAAAGTCTCTGTGGCAGGTGAATTTTTATATCCACCTGCCACAGTGGCTGGTGGCCAAAAAAGTTAACTTCAGGCCCTGCATCAGAGCAAGGCGGACCGCACTCGGACACATTTCTAACCGGCATGCATCTCGCGCTGATCACCGGTGATCGGTTCTGCGCAGATTTTGCTCATCTCAAACAAGCCTATTATCTGCAATCGATTATGCGTCTAACTACGGTTGCAAACCATAGACATAAAATACATGTATTATGATGTTGCAGGCTTTGACCGTTCCAATATGGCGGACTGCATATTAACAGCCGCCAATGAGCATCTACATTATAATTATGGACCGCCTATGAGCATCTATACATTATATTTATGGAACCCCCCCCCCCCCCCCCCCCCCCAACATCACTCACCCCCCCATTACTGTTTATGTGCAGTAATGTGTTTTTAAAATAATCTTTATATAAAAAAACCTTACAAACAAACACATAAATGAATGAATAAATCAATAAATACTCTGCTCTCAGATACCACATAATATACTTTTTCTTATTTCCTGTTATTGATTGACTCATAAAAGAATAGGCCTACATAGACGAGGAAGACAAATGAATGAAGTTAGGAATTCATTTTATGATGCTGGAAATATTTGCGCCTTATTGTAAACATCATGAATGTACACTAGGGGGCAGCATCATTTTAATAAAATTATCCACAAGGAAACAAAATCTTCACGTGCACAGAACTTACTGTCTATGGCACAGAGGCATGAAGCTTAAAAATATGTCTAAACGAACGTCATCTGACAACACTTTCTTTTCAACCAGTGTATTTTTTTCTTAATATCTGACACAAATAAACATGTCGAGCAGAATAAAGGCAGCAGTTAGACGATCTAGCATATCAGTGATTCAACCTTGTTTACTCCAAAGCAGTTTGGGGGGTTATATGCGCAACAAACTTCCATAGCCTATATTCTGTAAAACGGTTGCATCGCTTCCGGGTCAGGTCTTTTGCATGTGCTTCAAAAATGCTGTTTTACTCACTATCAAAGGAGCTACTAAAGATGGCCTTAACCGATGTCCAGCATGCAGATTGATATCTAAAAAGGTTTTTTTTTTTTCATTATTATTATTTTTCTTCTTCTCACTAACATTTGGATTTTATTAAATAAAACGCCATAGTTTGATAAAAAGAACTAGCCAGATTAGCTGATTACCTTAAAATCCATAGATGTTGCTGTCCAGACTGTGTGATTTCGGCAATCCTAAAATCATTACAAATCACTGTAGGACATTGATCTAATAAACTTGGGTACGACATTTATGTAGACTGCAGATGATGACACCTATTGTATCGTAGGCTACAACGCAAGTTAGTATAGAAGAATAAAACGCCATTAGCAGCATGTGCTTGCCTTCTGATAAACAAATAGAGCAAGATGAATCGCACTTTGGCAATTGTGGTTTTTATATGCACTGAAAAAAGAGGAGAATATAGCCTAGGGAAAAGAGGCCAACTTGGCATGGCAAATTTTGCAAAAGGAGCTTGAATTAAGTAGTTTTAAGTTTTAGCGTCATCTCGCGTTAATCAATATACCATTTCATGTTGCATTTTTATTGGCTAGAAAGTAGACGTAGGTTGTAGCAGCAAACACACTGTGAGATGATCATGCTAAATTTCTGACACTGTCAGAAAATTATCGCAGGCTATTTTTGGTCTCAAGACTGAGCGGCCGTCTTTGAACCTCTCTCACTGTAGGACCACTGTTTAGGAGCCACAACCACAGAAATCACCAAGCTTCTTTCGTCTGGGACAGTCCAAAATCGTACAATGTGTACCGGGCATTAGGCCTAGCACTTTTGTCTGACTAGCGGATGCGATGAGACATGTTTTCATGTTTGCTATTAATGTAGGTCTAATGTTCGATATAAATTATATTCTGTGTTTAGATATTAAGATATAAGTTAGATATTTTTTACTTTTAACATATTAAAATGTTTAACTTTAAATAATTTTAAGCCTTCTTTCAGCCACTTGGAAGTTTACTGAGGCCCCCTAGAGGGCCCTGACCCCCTGTACAACATCCTAGGCCCATTATTTGTGTTTGGTTTTGGAGTTTTTGGTCAAACGACGCTTGACTTTGGTGGGCACTGACTTTATGTGAAAGTGCAAGTGATCGTTAAGTGAGTTGACCAAGACCGGACATGTTGACCGCAGTAGAATGATAATGTTCTGCAGCTGTGTGTTTCGACCTCTCAGTTCATCAAATCTGACATCAAAACGCTCCTTCTCCAAAATGGACAATTATCTATAAAAACCAATCTGCCATCTCTTCAAAAGCAGAGTAAATCTCGGGGGATGAAATGTACTTCATCCATGGATCAGCAGAATCCTTTACACATAGAGAAAGGATTACCTGTATGAATCCAACCATGCCGACTGCCTGGGCAAGTACGTTTTTATCCTTCATCTCTCCTTGTGAGATGTGAGAAGCAAACACAAAGTGTGGTGAAACAGCTCCTTGTTCTGTGGCGCTGGTCCAGAGTCCTCAGCCCAGAGCTTCTCTAAGCATTGTTGGATTCTAAGAGGAATGTTGGCGTGGAGGGTAATTGCCTGCGAGTGGGACGGTAGCGTTACGGCCAGGATATGGCGTGCAGTCTTTATCCTGACAGCTCAGCCCCAAATAGGGAAAGATCCCAGCAGGGATGAACTTCTTATGCTGTCCTGTCCAGGTTTGAGGTTGTGGTTCTGGTGCTCTGGTCAGGGAAAATGTGGGGGGAAAACAACCTGCATGTCCTCAACAATTTATAGCTTGGGAATATTGAATCAACCTCTAAATGCTCATATGAAGAGCTATGACAGATTTTTCCATTACGACTAAAGTGTTATCAAATGCTAAGACATGGCTCCAGACTCTGGTATGTGTGGTCAAAACCCAAAACCAAACATAATGCAGTTTGACTCACTGCCTTAGTGGTTGGAATGGACATCTTCAGGTTTGGAGCCAGCCTCTCTCCTGGAGACAGCCGTCCAAACACTTGCCAACTAATAATCAAAAAGAACTGATAAGCAGAACCTTTCGACGGGCCTCATGAGCATGAAAGTAAAACTTGAATTTTTAT